CTCTGAGGACCAGGGACTCCCCACGGGAAAAGAACTGCCTTTATCCCGGTGGAATGTGTTAGACACATTCGTGTCGAATTGGAGATCTTAAGAAGCATTTTTACCGCAATGTTCTTTTTTTTTTTTTTTTATTGTTTTTTCCTATTGATTTTAGAGAGAGGAGAGGGGAGGGAGAAAGAGAGAAACATTGATGTGAGAGAGAAACATCGATCGGTCGGTTGGTTGCCTCTTGTACACGCCCCAACTGGGGACTGACCCCCACAGCCTAGGCATGTGCCCTGACCAGGACTCAAACTGATGACATTTCACTTTGCAGGACAGTGCCCAACCAACTGAGCCACACTGACCAGGGCACTATAATGTTCTTTAGTCTCTGTGTCTCCGTATTTGCTTCTCACAAATAGAGTATATCCTCTCCAAACAGTTTGCGCCCAGCTTTGTAATTTATAATCGCTATGATATGGGATCTCTGACATTTGAGAGCTGTGTACTAAGCTCTGCATTCTTCTAAGCCCTGCACATGGATTATCTCATTTAATCTGCACCCACGATCGTAGTAGGAAGGTTTTATGACTAAACTCATTTTACAGATGAGAGAACTGGACAACAAAGAGGTTAAGTCACTGGCCCCAAGATCACAAAGCTGCTAAGTAGCAGAGCTGGGAACCAGAGATCCCGCTCATGACTTCTGTGCTCGCTTTTAAAATTAACAAATGAATAAAATGCTCCTGAAGCCCCACCCGCTTGCCTTCATCACTCGAGGTGCGTCGGGGTACATCGAGAGATCAGCAGAGTGCACCAGCTCCCGCCGCCGCTCCAGCTCCTCCCCCAGGGGGAAAACAGGAGGCGACTTGTCCCTCGCTGCACTCAGGCCTGCGGGCCTCCTGGAAAACATCTTTCTGAAGTGACGTGTCTGAACTGATGGAAGCTTTTGAGCCAGTCCCTGGGGTCTGGGCCCTTGAGAAATCAAAGAAATTGACCACCTCAGGAGCTGACCTCTTACTTAAATTGGTCCTTTTTTTATGGCATCTCTGAGAGCCACTCGAAGGGAAAAACAGCGAGTTGATCGCCTTCCAGTGAAGCCCCAGGTAGCTGGCTTAATAGATTTCTGCATAAGTAAGTCCTGCACTTCGGAGGACACGCGCATTTGTCCGGGCCGCGGGGGACCTGTTGGTCCTCAGTGGCAGATCCTTCAGAGACTTTCCAGAACTAGTAAATGGAGCTCTGAGTCATGTTTACAGGAATGCTGGAGGAATTAAGATTTTGCAGAGTTCAATTTTCTAACAAACCCGGTTAGACACAAAGCCATGTTTTATGGAAAATGTTTCTTACCTGCTTATCTGTTTGCCTCCCTTGGCTGGTAAAATCCAGCAACGAGGACCATTACTTACTTTGTATGAGCGAGAGGTTCTTAATAAAGAGATGTTTTCTGGGGCTTCAAGAATGAATAGGGGGTGGGGTGCATGGTTCGCCTGTCAGTTACTGCTGTGTGCGTCCGGCGCAGAGACAGGCACGGGAAGAGGCTCAGGGAGGGAAGGGTGAGACTGGCCTGGAGGCAGGCGTGAAGGAGAGGAGCATCCCCCCTTCACATGCCCTGGCCAGAGAAGCCCTCCTCTGGGCGTGGCAGTCAAGCTCATACTGGCCAGCCCTGCAAAGTGCTAGGGGAAGGGCGTTCCAAGGAGAAGGAACCGCAGGAGCAAAGTCCACAAGGCAGGAAAGATCTTGGCCTGTTGAAGGGACAGAAGAGGGGAGTTGCTGGTGCAGAGTGGAGGAGGAGGGGAAGGGCCGGAGGGCAGGGCGGGACTCCGCAGGCCGCGGTCTGCTGTCCTTGCAGAGGAAGGCAGTGAGAGGTTTTGCGGAAGGGCAGCGCGTGGTCCTGTTTGTATTCTAATCTGCCTCTTCCCTTGCGTGAGAGACGGGTTTGGAAGGCGGGAAGAGCGACCGCAGGAAGCCCCGTGAGGAGGCCGCTGCGGCGACCTGGGCAGGAGATGCTGGTGTTTGGAACCAGGGTGTGACCGGGGAAGGGGAGAGTAGTGCACGGGTTTGGAATGGGGGATTCGGGGGCAACATCAACAGCTGATGGAATGGGTATGGGTGTGGGAGAAAGTCCTGGCCTGAGCGTCTTGGGGCAGGGGGCACTGGTGCCACTTATGGAGATGGGCTGGCTGGGGGACAAGTTTGGAGAGCGCGAGGTGGACGTGTTAGTAAGAAGTTCCATTTTGGACCTACTAAATTTGAGGGTCTGGAAGGCATCAAAGACGTGTGCTCGCGTCAGGCAGCTGCCTATGGGGGCACACCCACCCACGGAGAAGTGCCTGGTCCCCCTGGGAGGGGTCAGTTCAGCCCGGTGAACCCCTGACCCACTGCTTTCCTGCTCTGTGCGGTGGGAAATTTCCCCATCTCCCGAATGGGGCTCCTACTTGCTCCTAAGCTTGTTGTAAACATCGTATGAATTAATACATGGAAAGAGCTTCGATTTCCATAGTAGGTATTCAATAAATGTCATCTTCCTGTAACAACAATTTTTATCATCATCATCTTAGCTACAGTGATTTTCTTGCCATTTGTCTCTTTCTAATTAAAATCAAGGACCTCTGTCGCTGGTAAACACTTCTCCTGATGTCCTTGGAATTATCTGTTCAGCAGTCGGGGAGCTCAGTGAACCGGGGGTCAGTCGGGTCTGTGTCTCCCTCCTCCCAGCCCCCTTGCATGGTGCCCCCACACAGTAGGCACTTGGTAACATTTATCCAGTCACGTGGCATTCAGCCTGACTCCAGAAAAGAAATGCTTAATTGAGAAAATCAACCAAGCATTGAAGATAGCAGACAGGAAAGAGGATATTGCAAACTCAGGAACAACAACAGTTCACAGCATCTTTGCTCCCAGGAAGGAGGCTCTTGATTTCACAGCCCCATTCTGTGCCCCAGAAGCTCTAACCTTGGATGCTGATGCCCAGAGTCCCTCCGCCCTCCCCCACCACTTGGGCAGCTCTCAGGCTTCCCTGGAGAGCTTAAAAACAGCACTGGGGCCATCTTTAATCTCAGAGTCCAGGGTCCTGGTCAACGAGGGGCTCCTACGTACCTCTCCTAGTTCTTCCCTGGGCTCTCACACACATAGGCCCTGGGAGGCTGACTTGACACACAGTTCCTGAAGCATGTGTGCAGATGAGACCCCCATCAATGCCAAGCTCTTGGCTGTCTGATGGTATCTTTACTGCATCAGCTCCCCCTCGTGGCCAGAAGCAAACACCTAGCGTCTCCTACTGACAGCCTGACATATCCTACCTACTACGGGGTTCCTATTTCAGGACAGCCTTCAGCCAAGGCTCCCTTACCATGTCAGCAGAGATGAGTGATATATCAGGAACCCAGTGAAGGGTCAAGTGTATGCACATTCCTCCCACTCTCTGAGGCTCTTCGTGGTTCACCCCTCAGGAGCTCTCCCCAGATCTCAGCCTTAGGGCCGAGCAATAGCCTTAGTACGATAAACCTTCTGGAACAGCCCCTATCATTTCCTCCAAGGATATCATTTCCTCCTCCACCTATCCTTCCTTAGTGAATCCTTCCTTATGCCACCAAGTGGTTAATCAGAGGCAGGAATGGAACCAGGGATGCTGAACTCCTGGCCCCCCTTCCTCAGTTTCCACTCTCTGAATTAGCAGGAGGAGGAACAGAAAGGGGCCTGGGACAGCACGGATGCCGCTGGAGCAAGCACGCGCCCCACTGGCCTCGGGGCCATGATCTGAGCAGTGGGCACCTGCAAGCGCATTAGATGGGACCTGTGACCTCTGCTCCATCCCAGCAGCCACAGGCTTCACTCAGCCCTTTGTCACTTCTCTTTATCACTCGTGGCTTCTCCGCCCTTCAGCTAGTCCGTGTAGTGCTAACAGGGGTCCCACCTCTAGGGGTGGCTCCCCCAAACCCATCCTCCATCTCTCCCAGAGTTGACCATCCAACCACCCCAGCCTCCTGCCTGCTTCAAAACCTTCAGTGCCATTTAAGGATTAAGTCTGGAGCCTTAAAATGGAGCCAGTGCCGCTGTAACCCTGCCCCACTCTCAGCCCTAGCACTCGGCCTGCGAGTTCAGGCTCCAGAAACGCGGACACCTTCATCGTTACCCTCCCTCCACCTGCCAGGCCTCAGCTCCGTGCGTTTGCTCACACCAGTCCTGTTCAGCGTTCTTCTGCCCTCTCTCCTCCTATCGTCTCTGTATTTAACACGCAGCTCAGGGGTCACCTCCCCCAGGAAGCCTTGCTCTATCCCCCAGGCTCTCTTTGGTGCATGTCTCTGATCCCTCGGTCACTGCATTTACCACATAGGGTTATAGCGGGCAGGGACAAGGACACGTTTAGCTTTGTGTCTTCAGCCCCTAGGGCAGAGCTGGTCACAAACAGGTGCTCAATAAATGCCTGGAGATTTGATTAAGTGATTGATGAGTTCCCTGTGAAACGGAAATACTGTCCCATACAAGCAGGGTTTGCATCACCTCTGGAATCCGTTGGTTTTTCTCTCCACGCTTCCCTAGCCTCTCACTGTGATGGGGGACAGGGTGACACAGTGCATACCCAGGTCAGCTCTCCAGACTCCCATCTTCGCATCCCAGTGCCGCTGCTTGCTGGCTGTGTGGCCTCCAGCAAGTGCTTTATCTGCATCTGTTTCTCCATGGTTACAAGACGGGTAATGATAGTACTTACCTCTTGCGGTTGTGTGGGATTAAACAAATTAATTCACATAAAGAGTTTAGCAGAGTGTCTAGCCCCTAGTAAACATTCATTGAATATTAGCCAGTATTATATTTTGCTTAGTACGATGTGGGAACACAGAGATCAAGATAGATCCACAGCAGTTATAAAGGACAAAGGATCAAGACATCCACATTTTAACAGCAGCCTAGGAACAGGCAATGGACATAAAAAGCAACGTTTCTTGGTGCTACCTAACTCTTGTGGCCTTGCAGGACAGTCCCTGAGAAAGCTGCTGACCCCACTCTCCCTTCCTTAGGGCTGACGACTGCTTTTTCGCTTCTCGGAAGCTGGACGCAGTGGCCATTGAAGCCAAGTTTAAGCAGGACCTGGGTTTCCGGATGCTGAACTGTGGGCGGACGGACCTGGTGAAGCAGGCAGTGTCTCTCCTGGGGCCTGATGGGATCAACACCATGAGCGAACAGGTACAGGGTCCCCTGAGTGTCTGAACACGCAACCCCACCTTCACCGCCGGCACAGCCCCATGGCTAGATGGAAACAGCAGGCACTGGATGGAAGCGCCCCCTACTGATGACTTAGGGTGGTATTTTTTTTCAGTTTTAGTTTTTAAAAATACCCTTGTTCATCTTTATAAAAGTTGCACGTGATCGTTGCAGCTGAAATGGAAAATAGGGGAAAATAGGCATATTCTAGAAAGTAAATAATGCCATCACCCGGATAACTATCATATTTATATTTAGTATACGTCCTTCAAGATCTTTTTCCAGCGTGGTTAAAATTAGTTCTCTGCCCGCCTGTTACTGCTTCACAGAGCAAGTCAAGGCAGATTTTCACCAAACTTTCAGAGTATGTTTAAGAAATGCGAAAGGTTTTCTGGGAGACCCTAGGAGGAACCTCAGAGATAAGCAGCTGTCCCCCAAGCCCCCGACACTGAGGAACAGTGAAAGGCTGGCGCATCTGCCAAGCAGGGAGACGCCTTCAATGTGAGACCCAGATGGGAAGGTCACAAGGGACAGGTGGAGCCGCTCCTCACGTGGGCAGTTCATGCAGCCGGTTCCAGGGAAGGGGTAACAGCTAATAATTTTCTTGAGCAACACCCAGGAGCACACACACACAACTTATATTATCTTTTGAAAAAAATAGGAATGCCTTATATCTTGTTAATATTTTATATAAAGGTAATTTGTAATATCGTTAAATATTTTTAATCCATTTTAATGACTACTTAAAATGGTCTTATTATTCATTCAGTTGACCACACTTTAGTTGCTGGATATTTTAGGTTTTTTTATAATTACTTATATCAATAATGCTGAGCTAACTCAACTTACACAAATCTTTGTACAAATCCCTAATTATTTCATTAGGGAAATTCTTAAGAGTGGAACAGTGGCACAAACTCATCAACCTTTCTTAAGGCTTTTGATCTCAAATTACTTTTTCAGAGACCGTTTTCTATACACACCCTCCAACTAAATATGTGTTCCCTATTAATCTTTTACTTATTGCCTGTTTTTCATTGGAGCTTTACGTTCTTTTTCACTTAGAAGAGTTCTTTCCATATTAGGCACATAATCCTTTATTATAATGTGACAAAAATGTCTCAATTTATTGCCTACCTTTTAATTTTGTTTATGTTTTCAATTTTATGTCCTCAAGGAAGTAATGATTTTCCTTTGTGATGTCTTTTATGACGTTTATACCTAAGTGTCTTTTGCGGTTTTAATTTTGTCTCTATATCTCTAATCACACTAGAAATGATTTTGGTAGATGGTGCGAGATAAGGCTCTTCTTACTTGAATATTTCCCCCAATAGCTGCCTTCATAACACTGTTTATTGAAAAATCCATCCCTACCGTCTGTTGGTTGTGGTACTTTGTTTGTACTAAGCAGGAGTCGTGGGCAGATATGGAATGTTTGAAAGCCATTCCTCACTCTCTTGCCTTTGGCTTATAAATGATAATGTCAAACCAGATGTCATTGATGGGGGCACTATGCTCAGAGGCGTCCAATTTCCCTCGACACCGACCAGCATCTTGTACAGAGTGAAGATGACACTTGTCATACTGAGAAAGAGAAAATGTCAAGGGAGCGGTGTTGGTCAATTAGATAGCGTAGGTCGATGTTGGAGAATCCAGAAAGTTCCTAAGAGCTGTAAGTTGAAATCAGCCATTTGCTTCAACAAAGACTCTTAGGTCTGTTGCACCCTAAGACAGACAGACAAAAATCCTCCAACTTAAGCACGAGTAAATGCAAAAAAAGCAACTTATGGTCCCCTCTGGCCTCCACGTTGGTTTTTGAAATATGGAGGGCTGCAACCTTATGAGTCACAGGGCTGCTTTTTTCTTTTTCAATGCTGGATTTTGCGTGCAAACATAGCCTCCTAAACGAAAGTAAGATTTTCCGTTTGTTATCATCAAGTGACACAGCCACCTGGTAAACCTTCTCCGTTCTCTGGTTTCTAACTCACCGCAGGGCATGACCCCCCTGATGTACGCCTGCGTCCGTGGGGACGAGGCGATGGTTCAGATGCTGCTGGATGCCGGAGCTGACCTGAATGTGGAGGTGAGGGTACAGAGGGCTGCAGGGCTCCTTGGCCTGGCAGTCCCCAGGGGAAGGCGAGCAAAGAGAGGGGGGCTTTTTCTCCCGAGAGCCGCTGCTGACGGCAGGGCGCTCAGTCCAGCGAATCAGTCAGACCAGCTGATGGACTTCCTCCATGCTGAGGCCCCAGCCCCACCAGAGGAGCTGCGAGCATGTCTGTTTCCCTTAAAAACAACCAACACAACACCAGCTTTGCATTGGCTCAGTTGTACGGAGTCTCTGATTCTTTCTGCTAAGCCACTCCTGGGATCAGAGTGGAGAGAGCTCTCCTGAGCCATCAGCCATTCTCCCTCTGCACAGTGCAAAACTGGACCCTGTCCCCAGAGCTGAGGCCTAGCTCCCCCTCCCCCACCGAATCCTGATTGGCTCACCTGGTTGGCTGAGTTGAAGCCACAGGTCTTAAAGCTAATGGCAAAGCTTCCTTGAGGCAGTGTGCTGTAGCAGAAGGCACACCCCCACAGGCTTTAGAATTTGACACTGGGGTTCAAATTCTGAAACTACCCGCATCTTGGAGACTTGCTTTTGTGCTTGGGCAAATGGGTTAACCTTTTTGAGCCTTGATGTTCCCATCTGCAAAATGAGAGAACAATCACACCCATTTCAGGGAGTTGGTGGAAGACCTAGCATAAGTTTGAGACTCAGGTAATGTTGGTTTCCTCCCCTGCCAAGGGTTTTAATAGGTGAAATCACACTGTTTGACCACATTCTAGGCTGTGTTAGGACCCACTCTCTCAGGCAGCCTGGGAGATGGGAAGATTGGCATGCTACAGTCCTATCTCAGCAACCCTGGAAAACCTTTTCAGTTCAAAATTAGGTGCTCTTGTAGTTTTAGTACTGTGGGTTGCGGGGGAGCTTTTTTGTTTGTTCGTGAGTTTTATATTCATCTGAGGAAAGCAGGCAATAGACGTAGTTTGGGATCCATAACCATGTTTGATTATACAAGTTTCAGGGATCAGGGATTATCCCCCGGTTATGAATCCCTAAGTACCATACAGACTCTACAAGGGCTCCTCAGCTTTGGGTCCTGGTGGGGTTCTCAGACCCTTTTTAGCCCACCCCATGGCTCCCTGCTCAAGGCTTCCCCTGGCAGGCGATGAGCGAGCTCAACTGCTCCGAATGAAAGAGGCTTCGCGGTGATGTGGCCCCAAGAATGTCCGGGAGAAAAACCATGTGTGGGTCCAGCCCCGCAGGACCCCACCCTCCAGCTGTCCAGCTGCCTCCCTCATGGCCAGGGGTGTTCTGAGGCCCCCGTAGCAAAAGACCCATATCAGACCGCTTATTCGTGCTGTTCCCACGGAAGTTTTTTGTGCCCAGTTTCCAGAAACATGAGGGTCTTTGACAACCGGGAAGCCAGCAGAAGAGTGAAATGAGGACAGTGTGGGTGAGCTGCGACCAGATGGGGACATCCCCCCGTCAGATGGGTGGTGGTCTTCCCTGGCTCAAAAGCTTGAAGCAGACCTCCCTTGCCTGGGGTTTGCTGCCACCAAAAATGTCCCATAAAGCTGTGGGTGTAATGGCAGCGGCATCTCACACGGTCTGACATCCTAGAGTTCTCAGAACCTCCGACTTTCCTTAAGCGGAGAGAGGAGACAGGCGGGTGAGCTGGCTCGTTGTAGCCGCCATGGCCGCTGCTCCAAGGGCACAAAGAGGTGGTCAGGAGTCATCCATTGAATTGTTTTCAGATGAGAAGCACAGGCATTCTTATTCTTCACTACCCCACATCATCAGCATTTCCCAAGGCACCTTCCAGGTTGTCCTTTGCACACCTTTAGACCACGTGCCCAGCCACAGATAGGCCAGCTTTGCTAGTCTAAGTATTGTGAAGGTCACGTTTTGAAAATAACTTCAATTTGTTTATAGGTTGTCAGTACTCCTCATAAATATCCATCCGTCCACCCCGAGACCCGCCATTGGACGGCTCTGACTTTTGCTGTGTTGCATGGACATATTCCTGTAGTTCAGGTATTAATGTATTTCCCTATCCACATCTGACCTTTAATTTTACCTCTTCCATTATGCAAATCTGTACCTCTCCCAGCATGCATATTTGCTAAGACATTCATATTGGTTAATTACAATTAAATATAGCACATTCACATCATATGAATGAAACTATTATATGTAATGACCTCTATGGCCTGGCTTTTTAACCAATATGAAATCATCACATACCCGCATGCAGCCTCACACATAGAGTGGTCAACCTGTGAAGTTGTCCCCAGTTGCTCGGGGGTGGGGCCTGAGCTATGGTTTTGTGGATTGGTCCATTTTCTATATCATAACATGAACATAAAACGTGGCTGGTGTGAGACCTTAGAACCTCCCCTTAGGTGTGACCCCGGTGTTTGTGTGGAGTCTGGTGGTTTCCAACCAGTGCAGTGAAGCATTCAAGTCACCAAGGCAACAGTTCCAAAAGACACTTGCTTGGATTCCACGTCTTGAGAATCAGAGCCAGGGGATCTAGAACAGGGCCTTCACATGTGTCTTCTGAAACAGCTCCTGAAGCATGGAGAGACGTCCTCATCCGAGGTCCTTTGGGCATATAAATGTGTATTGCGTGCACCTTTTCTGGCTGTTGTAGAGTTGGTGTTCAGTGACGAGCCATCCAGTGCATTCTAGATCTTGAACATGGTCTTTCCTTCATCAGAAAAGAGATTAGCATCCGGGTATCCAGGTCTGTGACCACACTAGACCCCATAGTGAGCGCTGAGCTTCAGGAACATCGTTCTTTTACATGGTCCAAACCTCGGAGAATTAATGCAGAGCAGGGAATAGTGTAAGAGGGACTGCTAGGTAAGGCTGGAATTCCGCAGGAATCCTTTGTTTTTTCCTGGGTCGTGGGAATCCTGAAGGCAGATCCAAAGTCAGGTTTCAGGAGGTTGAGTGTGTGATGTATCACACTGAGACCTGGCTTCTGCCTGTACAACATCATGCCCAGTCTACTCCTAATGAAGGAATCTAAGGAAGAGGGGGGAGGTGCCTGGCAGACACAGATGCCATCCGTTAACACTCAGTGGCATCCTCGGCCTTTAAATCAGGAATAGGAGCCGTGGGCGGCCAAGCAGAGCCAAACAGAAGCCAGGCCCCGACTCCACTGCAGGTGAAGGTTCAGGTGCAGGTGCAGGAGCCATGAAATGCCAAGTAGGCAGCGCCCCCTGGCGGTGCCCTCAGGGAGCCCCATGGGTGATAGACAAAGCAGATTCCCCCCACCCATCACAGTTCACATCAGCAACGGCACAGCCACCGTGAGAGAGATATGGCATGGACAGAATCTCGATTTTTAAGAAGCCCAGATATCTTAGGGAATGCATGGAATTGAGTTCCGTGGAGCAAAACTCACAGAAGCTCATTCTGCCACTTATTCATTGATCCCACTGGCCAGAAACTTAGCATTTACTGACCTGTCCTCAGAGCTATCCAGGGCATTCTAGAAGGGGTTCTTGCCCTGGTTGGCCCATGTGGTCTCCAGAGTCCTTCAGAACTGTTGGTTCTGTGGTTCTAAGAGAGCACTTGAATGCTCTCCGACCCGAAGAGGGAGGCTTCTGCCCCTCTGGGTCTATCTCAGTGCTTCCAGAAATGTTAATGTACATGTAAGTCACCTGGAGACCTTGCGAAAATAGACTCTCATTCAGGGGCTTTGGGGTGGGCCTGAGAGCCAGTGTTTCCAACAAGCCCCCAGGTGATGCCGCTACTGGTCCGTGGACCACACTTTGAGTAGCCTCAGGTTCTAGAAGATACAAGGAGCTCCTAGTTCATCCTCGAGGTACAGCTGCCCTCCCCCTGTGCACATGGCCACTGACCCAGAGGGGAACCAGGAACACTGGCAGTGCGCTGCGTCCCACCAGCTTTTCTGACGCCTCCTCACCACGCGTGTCCTTTAAACGTGTCCACGGCCATCTTCCTCCACAGCTCCTCCTGGACGCTGGGGCCAAGGTGGAGGGCTCCGTGGAGCACGGCGAGGAGAACTACTCAGAAACGCCGCTGCAGCTGGCAGCCGCCGTAGGTAAGGGTCGCCGATTACCGCCCTGGCCGAGGGTGCCCACCGCCCTGGCCTTTGATGTGTCTGTGACTATGTCTTTGCTTCATTCCCTTATAAAACCCCTTCTCTGGGCTTGCAGGCAATTTTGAGCTGGTTAGTTTGCTGTTGGAGCGTGGTGCGGACCCCCTGATAGGAACCATGTACAGGAATGGAATTTCTACAACCCCCCAGGGTGATATGAATTCTTTCAGCCAGGCCGCAGCCCACGGACACAGGTAGGCTAGGACGGGCCAGAGCCACAAGGTCCCAAGGGGTGCTTGTTAAAAATGCAGATTCCCAGGCCTGCCCCAGACCCGCTGCCTCCCTGGGTGTGGGGCTCAGAGGCAGTGCAGGCCCCAACCCAGCCACCCTGGCCCTCGCTGCCGGCCGTCTGCTAAGAGCCAGCTTCATGCCGCACATGTCTGCTCAGACCGGCTTGTTCTGTCCTTTCCCAACCAGCTTTCCCCGCACAGAGACTTCACGCTTGGCCCATGTGGGTCAGACTACATGCCCTCCCAGAAGTGAAGTGAGAAGAATCCACTTCAAAACTAATAAATCGCATCGTGTTTACTTCCCGTCCGCCATTCCTTCAGGATAACGTACCCCATTGGGTTTTATTACACATCACCCCAAGTGAGGCAGATTCACTGTGGGGGAGTGCAGAGTTCTAGAGCCTTCTAGATTTCTGAGGAACACATTTAGCTCCCAGTTGTCCTTGAAGAAACCCAGCCGGCCCTGCCCCACTAGCTCCTCCCTCCCCAGGACGAAGCACCCATGGTCAAGACTCCGACACCACCACCCCAGCGTTGGTCCCGTCATGTTCCCTTGTCCCAAGCGAGTGGTCCCCCGCCCCGTCCCCACCCTGGCAAAGCCCTTCCATCTCTGAGTGTCTTCCTATCTGGGTTTATGATTGACAGGAATGTGTTCCGCAAACTGCTCGCTCAGCCAGAGAAGGAGAAGAGTGATATCCTGTCCCTGGAGGAGATTCTGGCCGAGGGGACTGACCTGGCGGAGACAGCCCCGCCCCCCCTGTGCGCCAGCCGCAACAGCAAGGCCAGACTGAGAGCCCTGAGGGAAGCCATGTATCACAGCGCTGAGCATGGCTACGTGGATGTCACAATTGACATCAGGAGCATAGGTCAGTCGGGGCACCCTCCGCCGCTGGGCATGACACCACTGCCCGGCTCTAGGTCACACACACACACACACACACACACACACTCACACACACTCTACATGGGCCCAGGGAACCTCCCGTTTGCTGGTGGGAGCTCTTCCTTGCTGAGATACCCACCCTGTCCCCATTGACCGCAGCACCCTGCCAGCCCCAAACCACCCCCCGCCCCCTCAGGACATCTTTCCATGATTCCCAAACTCTGGGCCCTGGGAAGTGAGGGATTTGAATCACCTGGGAGCTTGTCTGAATACACATTGCCAGGCCCTACACCCAGAAGCTCTGCTGTTGAGGGTCTGGATGGATAAAGGCTGGAAATCTTTATATTTAACAATCATCCCAGGTGGTTCCCAGTGGTTGGGAACTGCTCAGAGCACCCAGATCCATGAAGCTGCGGCCGGGCAGCGGCTAGGGAGAGGACCTGCCTTCCTTACCAGGCTCCACCCACTGAGCTTCAGGGGGCACAGCCACCCTCCAGAAAAGTTTGGGGCGGCTCTTCCCTGAGTGAGCTCCCCCATGTACCTGGGGAATAGGCTGGCCCGGCCCTCCCCGGTCTAGTGGCGTTAGCCCGCACAGGACAGCAGGAGTCAGCATGGGCCTTAAACACAGGGTATGGCAGGTCAAGGTAGATGGAGGGCCCACGGCGGGACCCCCCTGACACTGTTCTGGAAACAGGCCTCTCGGGGAGTGGCTGTTCAGCAGGTGGGACATTTACGCTGTGGCCCTGAAAGCCTATTTAGCACGGGGATGCGGCCCGCAACTCTGCAAGGTCAGCTTGTTTCACCCAGTAGTGATGCGCTGGCGTTCTCTGGTCTGCCTCCCCACGAGAGGGGAGCGCCGCTGACCACCTGCAGTCCGCTGCTGGAGAGTTTGCTATTACAGGAGGAAGACCTGATGAAGTGCTTGCAGGTGGGAATGTTTTGCACAGGGGAACAGCAGTAATATCTTCCATGTCTTCTTATGCAGATGTCAATATCCATCTTAGCAAGTCGTAGGTGGTGAAGCTCCCTGGTGAGTTTCACCAGCGCTCAGCTGTCAGCTCTGGTCTGGGCACGGATGTGGTACCCAATCCTGGGCAAGACTCTGCCCCTCCCTGAGCTTCTCCCACCCCAGAAAGTAGAGAGGATGGAGACAAATGAAGTCAGCCCTGAGAAGTATATGATCAGCCTAAGGCATGTGCATAATAATTCCAATATTCTATACCATGATTATAGGTTGTAAAATACAGCCCCTAATAATATGAGTAGCATGAAGAAATGGACACCATACTTAAGGGAATTGAATTATGATCTTTAATTTCAACTTCTGCAAGTCTTTTGGTGGGTAAAAAACCAACACTGGCTCTATTCATTGAAAGTCTGTCTCTTGGTCTCATCATTTGGTAATGTCCTGGGAAGAGGCCGAGTTTTAGATAAAAACATGCCTTCTGTTTTTCTGTTTTGGTTGTTCTCTGCCTTGCCCTTCCTGCTCCCCTCCCCTACCCCCACCCCCAGGTGTCCCGTGGACCCTGCACACGTGGCTGGAGTCTTTGCGGATCGCCTTCCAGCAGCACCGCAGGCCTCTCATCCAGTGCCTGTTGAAGGAGTTCAAGACCATTCAGGAGGAAGAGTACACGGAGGAGCTCATTACCCAAGGCCTGCCCCTGATGTTCGAGATCTTGAAAGCTAGCAAGGTACGGGGGCGTTAACGCCGTTGGGCCATCGGCAGAGAGCTAGGCTGGAGGTGCCCTGTCTCACGGGTCCCTTAGCCTGATCCTAATGAGATCCATTTCTGCACATGGGCAAAGGAATGAGATATCTTCTAACCCCGGGAATTTGCACAGAAGCTGGTGAGGTAATACCAACACAGGCACCCCTCTCTGAGGCATCAGAGGCGGTTTATGAAACAACATTAAATTCGGTGGCACAGGCTCTGAGAGGTGCGAAACGGTCAGGGAAGGCGTCAGGGGCTGCTGAGACCAGAGCAGGCCTGAGGGACAGCTAGGAATCCGGCCGGGAGAGGGGCACAGGCGCAGCGCCCTAGGCGAGTCGGGTGCAGGTTCCTGGAAACCAGGCACTGGGGGCGGCTTTTCCGGTTCAGAGGATCCAGGGAGCCCAGCGCCGACGCCTTGAGACTCACCCCTTCCCTGTGGGCCCCCTAATTCCTGCTGACACCTGCAATCACAGCAGCTGGGAAATCGTGCGGCCCCTCCAAAAACCAGTCCAGCCCTTGGGCGATGGTGGGATCAGTTCTTAAAGATCTCTGTGGGGTCACTTGTTTGATGATACCGTGGAGACACTCAGTACCCACCGGTGGGCCGTGTGTGTGTGTGCGCGCGCGCGCACGCAGAACTTTGAGGATGGACGGCTGTGGGGTGCCCATCCCCCCCGCCAGTGATTGGGTGGAGAGCCCAGGTCAGGAGGAGGGGCAACAAATGCCCCACTGTGGCTATGGAGGTGCGAGAGGGGTCCAGTCTGCCTGAGAGGCTTTGAGGAGTCCGGGCACCAACCATCACACACCCCAAGGCTTCTCGGGGGGCCACAGGGGGGACTGGGTCGCACCGTGGTTAGGGGCACGGGCTCTGCAGCCAAACTGCAGGGGTTCACGCCTGGCTCTGCCATTCTCTTGCCTTGTGACCCAGTCAAACGATAGAACTTCTCTCTGCCTCCGTTTCCGCAGCTGAAAATGGGGGCAATGGTTGTATGAACCTCTTAGGCTGGTTGTGAAGGTAAAAGGAGTCAATGGCCATTCAAGTGTCCCTGCCACCGTGTGAGTGCTTTCTAATCCCTGTCATAACGATGGCCTCACCAGGCGATGTGGCAGCTTCATTATTTCTCGGGGGTGTTCCCTTAAAACCATCCCCTCAGCAGCCCGGGTACCAGGGAGCCCGTGAACACCACGTGTGGCCCGCGGAAGGCCGGCCCGTCTCCGCAGGGTAACGTTGGATTATCCCAGCTTCCCTGCTGCGGAGCCTTGATCAGCCTCATCACAACAGCAGCCCAGTGTTTCCCAAGCTCACTTGACCTCAGAACCCTTTTTATAATGAACTGTCTTGAGACAAAAAGGAGGATTTTCTTTTTAAGGTAAAATATGTAATTTCTGTTTCCCAACTGCCTGGCACTCTTCTAATTAGGCACCTTATAGGGATTAACTCACTTACTTCTCACAAGCAAGCTGTGAGGGAAATACTGTTGTTATCCCCCACTTAACAAATGGGGAAACCGAGGCACAGAGAGGGTGACTAACTCACCCAAGGTCACACAGTTGGTAAGTAGCAGTCTGGCTGCCGCACCAGCCTCTTACCCCTTTGTTCCAGAGCAGGCTTTGGGGGACTCTGGGGCCCCTCATAGATAGCATGCCCACGAGGCTGCCCACGAGGCTGCCCACGAGGGGGAAGAGGGGCGCATGGGGCTGCCTTTGCCGGGCGTGGATGGCCCCACCGCGGAGCCACAGGCCTGCCTGCTTCCTGTGCCTGGAGCACCTGGCCTGGGGTGCAGAGCAAGGCCAGGAGGCCTTCTCATTAGCGCCCCTTCTTTGGCGCAGCGTCTCAGGGCCCCCCACGGGCTGGCTTTATGCTTGATGGCAGCCCCACTGAGAGCCCAAATGGGAGCAGGTGTGCCGGCCTCCGGTAATGAGCCCCAGCAATTCTATTTAGAGTGAAACCTGCTGGAAGCTTTTCAAAATCAAATGCTCCCTGCCCCTTACCCCCCAACTTGAAAATAAATAAAAAGGCTTTCACCTGAAATTACCTAAGAAATCACCTTGGTGGAAAACATTCTTGGTTCTGTTCCCAGGGTCTGGAGTTCTAAGTGGTTTTGGGGTTGTTGGGTTTTGTTGTTTGTTTTTTGTTGTTTTTTTTTTAATTTCTTCAGGCTGTATTGGGAATTCTAGAAATTACTGAAGCATCCTGTGTTTTAAGTAAGCCTCATCTAAAGGTTACTTAACAAACCCATAGTTTGAAGGTTGACATCCGTACAGAAAAGTACCCAGATTATAACTATAGAGTTAAATGAACTTTCACAAAGGAAACCTACCTGTGTGATGAGCACCCAGACCAAGAAACAGAGCATTGCTAGCACCCCACCAGGCCCCTCCTGCCCAGCCCAGCCTCTACCCTCCAAGAGCAGCCAACGGCTCTGACAGCAGCAGCTGGGGGTGGGGAGGAAAGGAAGGGCCTTTGCCGGGATGTGCGGGCCAGGGCCAGCTCCCTGGCAAGGAGCTGCAGCCCAGGGGGACTGCAGGCATGGAGCAGGGGCTGCTTCTTGCAAGCAGGGACAGTCTGTAAGGATGGCACATTCGAGAGTCCCGTTTGCTCTTATATGGGGCGGGGTAGGGTTCAATGGCAACCCCTACTGGTGAAATGTGGTATAACACATCACGTATACCAGGCATGGGGGGGTGGGGGAAGAGGTAATAAATTTCCCTCCTGTTGTGTGAAGTCAGGCATTAACCAAGCCTGAGTGATATTCCTGTGATCAGATCCTGTGGGCTTATTTTGCTTTGCTTCTTCCAGGTTCTTGAGGTGGCAGCCTAGATGATTGATTTGAAACTTTTCCTTTTTTTCTTCTATATGCATTTGATACTACACATTTTCTTCTTAGCACTAGTCTAGCTGTGTCCCATAGTTTTTTATATGTTTTATTTCCCTTGAAACTTGCTTTTCGGCTTATGGGTTATTTAAAAGTGTGTTATTTAGTTTCGAAGTGTTTGGGGATTTTTCTGTTCTTTCTGTTATTGATTTCTAGTTTCACTCCATTGTGGTCTGAGAATACATTCTATATTATATAAGTCTTTCTAAATATTTGAGATTTGTCATACATCCCAGAATATGGCCTACCCCGGTAGAGATTCCATGGGCACTTGAAAAGATGTGCTTTCTGTTGTTGAGCGGAGTGTTCTGTAATTTTTGATAACATCCTTTTGGCTGATGATTACACCCAGGTCTTCTATATCCTATAGATGTTCCGTCCAGTTAGTCTATCAGTGGAAAGGGGTGTTAAAGTCTCCAGCTGTAATTGCTGGATTGGTCTATTTCCCCTCCTTAGTTCCATCCGTTTTTGATTCACTTATTTGGCAGCTCTGATGTTTGGTCCATGCGCATTTAGGACTGCAGTGTCTTCTTGGTGGATTAACCCTTTTGGCATGTGATTCCCACTCTGCTTCTGCTAATTTTCTTTGCTCTGAAGTCTCTTTAATCTAATATTAATATAGCCTCTTCTGCTTTCCTTTGGTTAATGTTTGTATGATATTTTCCCATCCTTTTATTTTCAACTTGCCTCTATCACTATATTCGAAGTTTCTTGTAAACGGCATGTAGTTAGGCTTTTTAATCCACTCTGCCAATTTCTGTCTTTTAATGGGAATTTATAGACCATTTATATTTCATTTAATTATTGATACTGTAGGGATTAAGTCTACCATCTTAGTTTTTGTTTTCTATGTGGTCTCTGTCTTTTTGTTTCTTTTCTTTTTCTCGCCTTCCTGTGGACCACTTGAATGTTTCCTTTTAATTCCATTTTTATTTGTCTGTACGGTTTTGCAGTATATCTCACTGTGTAGCTTTTTCAGTGGTTGCTTGATGTGTTACATTATATATACATAATACCAAAGAAAAATATACATTATACCAAATGACGTATAGAAACCTTACCTCTCTGAGTCCCTGTCGCCTCCCCGATTTATGACATAACCATCTTTAAATATGTCATCTACATAGAGTTAGAGCCTCATCATTGCTATAGTTTTTACATGAACCACCAAACATAATTAGGAAAATCAAGGGGGCAAAAAAGCCTTTTATATTTGTCTGTACTTTTGCTTACCGTGTTCCCGCTTCCTGATGTTCCAAGGTTCCCTCGGTCATCCTTTCCTTTCTGTCCAGAGAACTTCCTTCAGCCTAGGGTAGTTCTGGTGACAAAAATCTCTTAGTTTTCCTTCCTCCAAGAATGCCTGACTTCCCTTCCATTCCCAAAGGATATTTTCACTGGTTATTATTTACCCACTTATTTCTCTCTAAGCCATCTTACCGTCCCCTAAATGTATTTAGAAAGGAAACGTTCTATTACTAGCAAAAATAGAAAGCCCTCATCAATCGCCATGAATAGAAATACATATCAGAATAAATGGGTGATGATTTAAAAGCACTTTGTGTGTTCAGTTTCATCTTGTCCACAAGTCCAAGCGCATTAACAGACTTGGAGCTGAGTGCTGACCTCATGGGAATCCTCTAGGGCCATACAGCCTTCGCACCTTTACCTTTTCCAAGGGCGCTCAGCAGAGGGGGCTCATTGCTGACCGGTGGGGCCAGCATTCCCACACTGGGGGAGGGGTGGTGTTCATCCGGACAGACGTTAAGACGAAGGACTCACTGCCAGAGACCCTGGAAAATAACAGTAATTCCACATTCTCTTGACTCTGAGATCAGGCTCTCCTCATCTTTTTTTAATTTCTCAACTCGAAATGTGTCTTAAACATGGATGTGTATATTTATTATGGTGAGGTGGGTTTTTTTTTTTCCTCTTCCTAAAAGCTACCATTAATTCTACGATATTTTAGAATCTAGAAAAATAGGAAGTAGTTTGAATTATGGGAAATTGGTATTCTGGGAGTTCCAAAATGGTCCAATATTGGCACCTTCCTTTGGTTCAACCTAATAGCATATTGGGATGCGTTATCCTTTTAATCCTCACTGCAGCCTCACCAAGCAGCCAGTTTTAATCCACTTTGGAAGAGGCCACCGAGGCCCAGAGAAGCTGAGCGACTTTCTTAAGGTCACAGAGCTCGCTGGCGAGGAGCCGGGGCCAGAACCCAGCTCCGGCGGGTCCTGTTGCCCATGTTTCTACCACTGCACAGAATCCCCGCCTGAGCTACCTGTATATGACCTTTGGGACCCTCCTAGCACAGCTTTCCAAAGAAAAGATGTGTTTTGGTATCTTTTTAGAACAGCAATGAGCGGTCAGAGGAGGAGAGGAAAGATGTTAGCCCCCAAATCCACAGACTCCATCTTAGGAAAGTCTCCTGGTAACCGTGGCAGTAAGGCTTTTGCTTCATTCCCCTTAAGTTCTGTGTAGCTGCACAGTTCTGACTCCTGAGAACCCCATCCCCTGTGTACACCCAAGAGGAACCTGAACAGCAGGTACCCAGCAGTATCTCTAATCTTAAGGGCTTGTGTTACTACGCTGGGCCCACCCAGATAATCCAGGATGGTCTCCCTGTCTTTAAGGTCAACTAATCAGTAGCTTTATTCCTGCTGAGTCCCCTCTGCCCTATAGGATAACATGTTCACAGGTAGGATGTCTCAGGATACAGCCCGCCCCCCCCTCCGCACCGGGATCAGGGCAGGCACTCTAATAGGGGCTATAATTCTGGTTCTCGAACATTCGTGTGCACGGGCGCCACATGCAGAGCAGAGCATGTAACTCTGAATCCCGATTCGTTGGCCTGGGGTGAGAGCCTGCATCTCTGCCATCTCCCTGGCGATCCTGCTGCTGCTGCTGGTCGTGGAGCACCTTTGAGTGGCAGGGCTTTAGACCAGATGAAATGAATTTCCAGCTGCCAGCCCAGCTCGCACCCGAGGCAGAATTTCAGTTCATGAAACCTGGTGGTTCTCAAGCCTCAGAGAGCATCAGAATCACCAGAAAACTTGTCAAAGTACAGACTGCTGCCCCCCACCCCCAGCTTTCCTGGATCAGAAGGTACAGGGCCTGAGGACGGACATTTCTAACAGGCTCCCAAGTGGCGCTGAAGGTGCTGGTGTGGGGACCACGCTCTTGAGAGCTTTGCTTGAAACCCAGAGGGAGGCAATCGCTTTGTGAGTGTTAGGTGAAGGCGGTTTAACATCCTTGTTTACAAGGCCTCGTCTTTAAAGGCAGCGTCTCTTTTTGTGTTCAATATGATTGCGTCCCCTTAGGCACCTCTGCGGCTCTGTCAGAAGTGACAAGGTGCCTTTAGGGATCTCATCCACTTTAATCAAAGGTCTGAATTTTCTTTTCATGTGCCGAGCTGTACCCTTCTGCTCTGGGAGCACCAAGAAGTAGATTCATGAATAGCTGGAACCGCTGACATCATGAGTGATCTCAAAAATGATATTTGTTTTTATTACAAAAAGCAACAGTTGTTTGTTGCAGAAAATATGGCTAAAAAGAAAACACCATAATCCCACCCAAAGGCAGCTACTCTTATTCTCCCTGACCTTTCTCTATAAATACCTGTCAATCTAGATATGCGTATATGTAGGGTTTTATTTCCAAAACTACATGCGGCAAACTGTGCTGTCGTCTACTTTTAAAATATATTGTAAATGTCTTTCTATTTCACTCCCCCTTTCAGCCCCAAGTTTCAACCCCTTCACTCAATAAAAAGCACCCAGATGCTGGATTCGCGGCTTCCCTCCTGCACACCTGCGGTTGGAGGGAGACCTGTGAACAGCCGTGGGCTCCACGGGGGAAGAGGCAAAACCACAGGGGACGGGGCTCAATCAGAAGTAGGTCCCTCATCCCTGAGCCGTCGGGGCAGCTGTCATTCTGCGTCATTCAACTGTTCCCCACCCCCACCCCCACCTTGCCTTTTTTTTTTTTTTTTTTTTTTTCTTTTTTAGAAATGATTCAGCTGAGCGCTCCAGATCTGGAAGTGCCTCGGCACCAGAATCAAATTCATAAGAAAGCTGAATCAGGACCATTTGTGTCTCGGCACTAGAGACACGGTCACAGGGTCAAAAGGGCTTTCCGCTGGCATTTTTCAGGGCAATTAGAGGCTTCCAGAATTTTGGAGTATTGATAAAAAGTATGTTTGGGGTAAAAACTTATTTTCCATTCTATGAGTTACAAAACCTGCTTTCCAATGGCTAGTAAGTGATTAGAGCAAGAGCGAAGGATTTAATGACAGCTTAAGCTTTCACCGATGAGCCTGCTGGAAACAGGCAGTGGACAAACAGGCACCGCAGCCCCAGGGCCTGTCAGGGCAAACTGGGTGGGTGACGTTCAGGGGAATCTCTGGGAACCTGAGATAAGTTTGCTGGCGTCTCTCCCCTGGGGGACCTGTTCCTGGCAACAACTCGCAGGAGGTCATGCGTAGCCCCCAGCAAGGTGAGCTGTTCTCTCTTTTCCGCAGAACGAAGTGATCAGCCAGCAGCTGTGTGTCATCTTCACTCACTGCTACGGGCCCTACCCCATCCCCAAGCTCACGGAGATCAAACGGAAGCAGACCTCGCGCCTGGGTGAGTGTTTCGCCCACCCTGCGCTGCCCTGAGACCGGTGTTGCTTTCTGATTTCAGGACTGGAAAGAGGCAAACACCATAAAGGAGGGTGGAGGATATTTGGGAGCAAATAGATACCGGAGTCAGGCAGGCGGAAATCAGGATATCACTTGGATTATGTGATAAAACTGAAGGATATACCTTAGCAGGTTGGACGAGGAGACTCACCAATACCTTCTTTTTCAAACTGAAAGGTTCTAGGCAGTGACAGCAACAAGGTCTCTGGGGCCCTGCTGGCAGGTAGAGTCTAAAAGCAACCCACGTGTCCATCAATAGACACGTGGATCAATAAGCTGTGGTACATATATATAATGGAATATTACTCTGCCGTAAAAAAGAATGTGGTCTCGCCATGTGCAACAGGATGGATGAACCTTCGGGTTATTATGCTAAGCTAAATAAATTAATCAGAGAAAGACAAATCCAGTATGATTTTCACTTACATGTTGAACCTAAAGAACAAAATGAACAAACAAAACAAATGCATAGATGCAGAGAGCAAACTGATAGTTGCCAGAAGGGAGGAGGTTTGGGGACTGGGTGAATAAGGTGAAAGATGATAAAGTACAAGCTGGGCCCTGACTGGTGTGGCTCAGTTGGTTGGGTGCCATCCAGCAAAGCAAAAAGTCACCGGTTCAATTCCCGGACAGGACACATGCCTGGGTTGCAGGTTCAGACCCCAGCCCGGGCATGTACGAGAGGCAGCCGATCGTTGTGTCTCTCCCTTTCTCCCTCCCATGCCCTCTCTCTAAAAATAAGTCTTAAAAATCTTTTTTTAAACAAGGTACAAATTGGTGGTTACAGATTAGTCACAGGGCTGTAAAGTGCAGTCAGTAATAGTGTAATAACTGTGCGTGGTGCCAGGTGAGGACTGGAAATATCGGGGGGAGCACTTTGTAAGTCACACAACTGTCTAACCGCTGTGCTGTGCGCCTGAAACGAAAACAAAATATCGAATGTAAAAAAAACAGGAAATGTTAAGGAAAAAAGAAAAGGAGAGCCTCACATGTAGAAATTCTGTTGTTTTTTAAAAATATAATAAAACCAGTACTGGAGAAAAAAATAATAAAAGAAACCTGAGCTGTGCATGGCGGCTGTCCCCCAGGCCACCCTGAGGGGGACGCGCAGAGGACAGTGACAGGCCATCGTGTTGCCCTGGTGGAGCCCTTCTGCAAGGAGCTGGGAGGAGAGGGGGATGGGCCCCCCCCCCCCCCCACACACACGGAACCTACCTGAGCTGAGGACCCTGGATGCCCTGAATCCCGTCAGAGTCTCCGTCCCACTTTTATTCTTCTGGGACCCTTGCCCTGAGCCGGTCCCAGTGGGGCACCTGACCTACCCTGGCTCAGGAACCCCCAGGCCACCCCAGGAGGGAGGCACTGGGGGCCTCCCGAGTCACAGCTGAAGGAGCGGGGGCTCTGCAGACCCCACAGTACCGGGTCAGGTGGAGCCCGGCGCCGAACCAGGCTCACCCGAAGCCGTGACGCCATCATTCTGCGGTTTTAGCTTCTGGGATTTTCTGGGAGAAACCTCTCCATCGGGCACTGATTTCACGCGGAGGACCCTGGGGCTGTGGCAGCCTGGCCGACCTGCCCGGGGAGAAAAGGCAAAGAAATACTCGGCTGCCTTGAAACAGGAACCTGAGCTTTCTGTTGCAGTGGCCTGTCTTCTTGCTGCCAGGGAGCTATAAAATATTAAAGATATTTTAATGTGAAAGGATTCCTTTTCTAATGAAGGTCGGGGACCCTCCTGCTTCCTAGTTCCTTTTCCTACAAGGACTGGGAAACATTTGGTAAATGAAGCATCTGAAAATTCTGCTCCTTAGCAAAACCACTGCTTTTGAAACAGGTGAGCTGGTTTGAGCGAAGAGCCTGAATTCATGGAACTGTTTTAAAGTATTGTACTTTTTTTCCTTCCGTGAATGGCTGGTTAATTTAAATGACACAGTGTTTTGCTAAATGGAAAACGTAGCAGCTGAGCCCTGTGAGCAAACCAGGATGTGCCAAACCACAAGTACTTCCACCTTGTAGAAAACAGGTGTTAATTAAAATATTCTAAGTGCAACACATTATATAAAGACCAATCAGATTAATAGACTTGAGAGACTGAAGGCTACATCCCCACGACACAGCAGTGATCGGACATCTGGGCGTCCTACAAGGCACCCTCGTTAGAGCGAGCACTTGCAAGGGCTGTTTTAATGGCACAGCTTAAATCCTGCTTTTCTGTAGCTATAGGAGAGGAACTTTTTTTTTCCCCCATCCTAAACTTGCTGAGATTTCTTTCGCTCATCAGCAGTTTTAAGGTCCTTTGTTTGTTTGTTTGTTTTTGCCAAGCCTCAGAATTCCAAGGGTTAGAAAAGAGAAAAAAAGCCAAGCCTCAGAGGCTCACAGCTCATAGTATGAAAGAAAAAGGGCAGAATGTATGTATAATTATTGATAAATGGAACATGGCACATGTCATGTTTTGCATCTTCAGTATAAGCATTTCAAGCTAGGATAACTAAAGGTTGCCAAACAGTGGTTCTATAAGAACACGCTTTAAAACGAAGATTAGAAAGATTAGTGACCAAGGTCCAAAGCTGACATCTCTGCAGGGCCAGGCAGGTCCTATAAATGAGTGAAACGGCCTCAGTGTAATACAGAGGGGAGTGGCAGGGACTGTGGCCAACTGCCAAGAGATGCCTGATTTTTTGTGACTACATTGTCTTCCTGCCGTCGCAGAGAATTCTGGGAGAGAATGGTACCAAGAGCTAAAGGGAGGAGATAGTAGCAATTTGGGAAGCAGGATGGGGTGGTTGGAGGGGGACAGTGGAGGGGAGAGGAGCAGAGGGAGGCAGGTTGCTGAGCAGAAGGAGGAAGTCTCTCCAACCGGTTAACAGTCTTTAAAGCGAGGGGAGACATGGGTTTTTGTCAGCTCTGAGGCCTGCCTCTGCAGCCTCCCTTCCCTTCACCTGGATCGGTGTAGAAGTTTGGGGAGGGGGCAGTCAATTAAAAATTTTGAAGTTAGTGGGATTACAGGTGATTTTGACTTTTTATTGCTTTTTTTTTGGGGGGGGGTATGTTTTCAATTAAAGTTTCTTAATGGGAAGAGGTGACAGAGAATATGAGTGGAGGACCAACCACCAGGACCCCCGTCTGGGGCAGCAGAGGGTCTGAGGGCTGAGTGTGGAGAATCAGCCAGGAAGGGCAGTTCCGGGTCCAAGTTACAGCAGGGCAAAAACGGAGCCTGGCCGGGGGTTCAAGGCGCCGTCAGACAGGACAGCCTCGACAGCGGGCGGGTCACGGGCCCCGGGAGCCCCGGCGGTTGGTTCTCTCCCCCAGCAGTTTGGGGCAGCCTAAACCCAGCCGTAGGGAGCAGCTGGAGTCTCATCTCAGGACAAACCTTTAACCCCCTAGGGAAGGGCCTGTCTACAACAAGCAGATCCCAGGTTAAGAAGGGACCTGATGTCCTAACAGGCTTCGAGAGCAAGACTCTTAAGCAACGGTCAAGGCCTTCTTTCACTCATGCAGAAAATGAGGGGCAGTATGTGTCGCCTAAGTGCTTCACAGAAATTAATTCATTAATGTTCACTACAACTCCTGGATTTGGGTGTATAATGGGTGTGAGCATTCCCACTTTACAGGAAGGAAAACTGAGGCATGGAGTGGTTCAGTAACTCGCCCAAGGTCACTGAGACTTCTGGCTTCAGGGCCCCCGTTCTTACTATACTCTACCGCCTTGCTGAGCTAGACACAGTGGAAGGGAAAAGGGTAGGCAAGGCCCTGCCCTCCCAGAGGCAGACAAAGAATGATGCACGGTGGTGATGAGGCTGCACCAGGGACAGTACAGGTGTTAAGTAATCTTCACTTTAGAGACTCTTAACGGCCCACCCTCGGGCACTGCAGCCCACACGAGCTAGCACAGCGGAGGCCGAGCCACCTTGCCTTCTCACCCAGGCTGGGAGGGACTCCGGAACTGAGGACGGTGGAGCCTGGGAGGGGCAGGGATGGGTCGGGGCGGGGGTAGATATTCTCCAGTAGGCGGAGGACAGACTGGCACCTTCCGCAGCCCCAGGTCTAAGTGGCTGAAATGACAGGTAAAGGAGAATCCCAGTGTTTAACAATGCGGGCCCTTGCGTTAGAATGTCTGTGTTCAAACCCTGGTTTCTCCACCTGTCCCTGGCTGAAGCAAGTCACTTTTGTGCCCCAGTTTCCTCAACTGCACACCTGACGGTGGTCCCTATCCCCCAGGACCGAATGAGCCTCCATGTGTTAGTGCCGGCTGGCCCAGGGCCTGGCACATCGTAAGGGCCCAGTAAGTACCAGTTATTATTGGAGATGAGGGCAGGGGACTGGCTCATTTACCTCTGACCCCAGGAAGGAAAGGCTTGGATTTCACATCACCTGGAACACAGTGGCAAGGGGGCGGCTTCTCTCAACCACTCCCATCAGGCAGGGCAGGCGCTGAGCCTAGGAAGAGGCGGAAACAACGGAGCAGATGTTTACCTTTCACACCTGCAAGTCGTCTGAACTCAGCCTATGGGCCAGTCTACTCTGGGGACATGCTGCTTTTTAAAGATTTTATGTATTTTAGAGAGATGGGAAGTGAGGGAGGAAGAGAGAGGGAGAGAAACATCGATGTATGAGAGATACATTGATCAGATCAGTTGCCTCTTTCATGCCCACAATGCAGGCATGTGCCCTGACCGGAGATCGAACCAGCAACCTTTTGTTTCGCAGGCTGGTGCTCAGTCCACTGAGCCATACCAGCCAGGGTGGAAATACTACTTTTTTAATTTGAACCCATGGAAAGCTATTTTGTATTCTTTGTTCACAGATATGTTCACCCCACATTACAAAAAAAAATAAAGAGATCTTGTATCTTGTTGATTTACTTTTCTTTTATTGTTGTTCAAGTACAGTTGTCTCCATTTTCCCCCCTGCCACTCTCCCCTGGAAATGCTACTTTTAGTCACAAATAAGCTGTGAAGATTTTCTATGAAAAAGTGAACTTCAGTGATTTGAATGTTCCTTTGATTCTGACTCCTGTTTGGTCACTATTTCACCAATGAGTATTTTATCCCCTGGGATCCAAACTTCACACTTCTCTCCACTAACACTACCTTTTTTCCCCTTTTCTATTCTAGATCCTCATTTCCTCAACAATAAAGAAATGTCTGATGTCACCTTTCTGGTAGAAGGAAGACCATTTTATGCTCACAAAGTGCTGTTATTTACTGCCTCTCCAAGGTATGTACCGTCAGTTTGGAGAGTAGGTGAATTATAAGTGTGGCTGTTGCTCTTGCTATACGCTGAAGCTCAATTTTGCTGCTATCTCCACTAGACTGGCAGATAATCTTCGCAAAATCAAGGAGTCAGGAGTACAGGGCATTTGTGCACCATGCTCACAGCAGCATTATTTACAACAGTCCAGAGGTAGGAGCAGCCCAGACATCTGTCAGCGGATGGATGGGTAGACACGATGTGGTGTACACATATATTATTTAGCCTTGAGAACGGAGTAGATTCTGACACATGCTACACCATGAATGAACCTTGGGGACGTTAGACAAAGTGAAATAAGCAAGTCACAAAAAGACAAACACTGTATGACTCCATCTGTGTGAGGTACTAGAATAGTAAAATTCCCAGAAAGTAGAACAGTGGTTGCCAGGGACTGGGAGAAGGGGAATGAGGAGGTGGTGCTGAATGGGCACATGCTAAGTTCTAGAGATCAGATTCACAACAATGTGAATATACCTAACATTAACATTACTGTACACATAGGAACGTTTAAGATGGGAAATTATGTTGTGTTTTTCACTTGCAATTTAAAAAAAAGGAATACAGGGCAGCCACCAGCGTAAACAGCAACACCTTTGTGTGGCTTCAGCGCCTGTAATTCCAGGCAGATGGAGCCCACGTGGGGCAGAACGGAGCAGGGCGTGGGGAGCAGAGCAGAAGGAGCGGGGGCGTGGATTTGGTTTTCGCTCCCTCGGCCAGGTGCCTCGTGCAGCCCGCAACCGGAAGTCTCACACGCAGGAGCCTTGAGAGGCCTGATCTCCAAACGTCAGGGAACGGCGGCATAAGCCACCGAAATACGCAGGCCCTGACTCTCACTCTTCCCTGACCCTGGAGTTGACAACGGCATAACGCCCTTCTACCAGCTCCGCCACTGCCCTTCCCCCGCTTTAGTATGAGAGGAGATGGGGCTGACCACGCGGACCCACACGATCCAGGGAAGCTGAGCAGAGAGAGTGAAGCCTACGTGAGGAGGAGGCAGGGCCCGCGGAGCGGGGAGTAAGGAATCCGCCCCCAGGCCGCCTGCCAAGGGGTGTGTCCGACTGGCACTCCCTGGGTCCTGACAGCATCCTGGCATCTGTAGGGCCCCCCAAACCAAATACAAGCCCCACATGTCTGCTTTGCCACCACAAGAAAAGTGGGCCGTTCCTTGCCTAGTTCTCAGTGGCAACACCGTAGACAAGCTGGATCGATAGCGTGCCGATTTTAATTTCTTAGTTTTCACAATGGTGCTTGGCTGTCCGTGTAGGATGGTAACGTTAGTGGGAACTGGGTGGAGGGTAAACAGGAACTCTCTGAACTAACTTGACAACTCTTCTATCCATCTCTAAGTACTTTAAAATTAAAAGTTGAATTAAAACAAACCGACAGAGCTTACTCCTAAATATAGGGAGTGTCAGTGCATTCCAATGAGAGAGTCTCTACCCGCAAGGAGCATGTAGTTTAGTCAATGGCAGGAAAGTGTATTGAAAACTCCATAGAGAAGGTTAGCCAGACAGAGATCCTCAGGTAGTCAACAGATACTGATGGGCAGGCATGGGCTCGGAGGCTGCGGCAGAAACGGAAAGGGCAGAAGTCCCGCCCTCCTGGAGCTGAGGCTGTGGGAGGCGGCAGGGCGGCGCTGGAGGGCTCCCTGAAGGCCGAGGAGCATGCAGCCCGAGCCCAGAGAAGACTCCCTGAAGGAGGCAGCCTTGTTGTCGCCCTGCAAGACTCGCTCTTTTCTAATCACCTGTCTGAGAAACAACACTGTTCTTTTAAGTTGAGCTTTAACTGTAAATTGGATTATGCTACCATCCAGGGAGGGAAAGGGTTTAAATTAAGATATCTGTGGAGCCCTGGCTGCTGGGCCTCAGTGGATTGAGCACCGGCCTGCAAACCAAGGGGTCGCCAGTTCGATTCCCAGTCAGAACACATGACTGGGTTGCAGGCCCCCATGTGGAGGTGTGTGAGAGGCAACCACACATCAGTGTTTCTCTCCCTCCTTTCTCCTCTCTCTAAAAGTAAACAAATACAAATCTTAAAAAACAAACAAATAAAAGGAACCTGTGGAGATGTCATTGTTGCATGTCAGAGTTAGAGGGGATGAAAGAGCTGAGTTTCTTGCCAGCTAGGAGTATGATTGTGAGTCTTTTCTCTTTTTGTGTTCTTGTTCAGGTTCAAAGCGCTCCTGTCCAGCAAACCAACAAATGACGGCACCTGCATAGAGATCGGTTATGTGAAGTACCCCATCTTTCAGGTGAGCCCCTGCTGTGGCCCGGAACACCGTGGTGGCGGGCGCAGGGCACAGGTGGCTCCTTCCAGTCCTTGGCCACTGCAACAAATCATCAGTCTCCTGCCCGCCCCCCACTCACCCCTCCTCACGCCGCCCTAACCGTTTAACATCCATTCATCTCTACACCATTACTTGAGCACCTACTATGTGCCTGGCACTCTCCTCAGACCTGGGAACACAGGGTAAAGGACAGTCCTCTCCTGGGGAAGGGTAAAGGACTCTTCCGCCTGTTTAAAATCAGTGTCCCCCGTGTGACCTTGGACAGATAGCCCAACCTTTCTGAGCACCAGTTTCCTCCTCTGGATGGGGAGAGGGCATTCCAGGGGCAGGAGCGGCATAAACAAAAACAAAGGCACAAAAGTGGGAAGCCCTGTGGTATGTTGGAGGGAAAGAGATTACCAGTCCATTGGTTGGGTCTTCAAGGGGATCAGAGGCTCAAAAGACACACTGAGCCAAATGGAGGGAAGGCAGGCCTGATGCTGGTTCTTCCCTCCACCGTGGACCCCAGTCCCCCAGATCGGGCCTTCCAGAGGGCTGCCAGGAGGACACCATGCCCTCACACCAGCCCCTAAAGTCCACATTTCCACCATTAGAGATGTGCTCCTTTGACTATGTTGAAACTTCAGAATCAGGAATTCTCCCCAAATAACCATAGGCAAGGCACTCTCTTGTCTGAGACTCCTTTTCCCCATGTTTAACAAGTTAATCATCACCACCTCTCTGATGTGGGGTCTTGCAGAGATTAGCAAGCAGGACAACATGAGAAAGCATTCAACTTGGTATCTGGTGCTACGTGGCAATTAAGTGGGTAGTTGTTTCCTAAGGCATAGCTGATAAACCACCTCTCTGCCAAGCATACTTTGGACTAAGCATTGGGGAACGGATGAAAGAGGTGCCAAGGCCAAGGGTGGCCTAGGAGAGCCGTCCCACTGGGTTGGGGGTAGCGGAGAGGAGGCTGGAGCCCCAAGGTGGGACTGAGGTGTGGGCCCACCCCCCATATACACACATGACTGTTTCCCCTTTCCCAGCCCCTCACCGCGGTTTCTACTGAAAGCAAAGTGGCAAGAGCTGGGCGCAGCTGAGGCCTTCTGGAATGGCAGCAGCTGCCAGGTTTAAACATTCCCATGAAACGGCGGCTTTGCTTTAGGGTTGGGGATGGGGAGGGTGGTGTAGAAGCCGAAATGAGGCTCCAGCTGTGAGCGAGGTGCCGGCCTCGGCTTGCACATGGTTATCTGGATTATCCTTGCCAGTTTTAGAAAACAGCTGAGGCCCAGAGAATGTAAATGATGCATGCCCGCTGGTGTTAGTATAGTTGGTGACAGAGCCAAGATTTGAACTCGCCTGTCTGGTGCCAAAGCCTAGGTACCTGGTTCTGGAATTCTCTCCCTAAGTGGAAACAGTGCTAAGAACAGCTCCCATTTCTTCAACACTTGCTATGTGTAAGGCTTCAGGCCGGGGGTTCTCCACCTGGGCTGCCTGTTAGAATCACCTGGGGAGCTTTGAAAATGCCCAGTGACCAGGCCATGAATCAGACCAGCTAGATCAGAATCTGGGCTGAGGCCTGGGCATCGGCATTTTGAAGTCCCTGCCCTCTTCCCGTTATCCCAGTGTGCAGCCAAGCGGGACCACCAGTGCTCTGAGTTATAGTGGTTCTCAAACTTGACCAGGCTTCAAAATACCCAGCAGGCAGAGAAAGCGGGGAGCTCACGAAAACACAAAACTCGCTACGATGCAGATTCCTGGCCCTACCCTTATAGAATTCCGGGTTCTGTTAGCCTGGGCTGCAGCCTGGGAATCTGCCTTTCTTACAAGAACCCAGGAGATGCCGATGCTGCTGGTCCAGGGACCACGCTGAGAACCGCTGCTGTCTATCAGCTCATTCAGCCCTTCCAGCTGCCCCTCCAGGTAGCCCTTTCCCCGCCTTACAGACGGGGCGGGGCCTAAGCTCCCACAGCTCATCACAGCAGAGCTGAAGTTCAGACCCAGGCCTGGCTGACCCCCAGGCCTAATCTCATCACTGCCTCCCTGCTGTGGGGACTTGGGCCTTCCCTAAAAGTCAGCCATTAGAGTTTGGAGCCCGAGCTAGCAGCTGGGAAATGGCATGCCCCCAGCTCTCTGAGTGCTCGAGAAGGGGGCAGGCACTTACGCCGTTAGGCCTGGGACTAATTGGGGAGGTTCCTGAAAGAACTTGTCTTGCAGTAGGCACTCAGCAAATTCAACAGATTCACTCATGGGAAGGCCCAGCACCGAGGAACTGAGGCCTGTAATTGTCCCCAACCAGGGAAGGCGTCCTGGCCACAGGAGCCTCAAACTCCTGCAAGGCGCAGGGAGTGGACCCCAGGGACTTCTCCCTGTGCCTACCTTCTTCCCCATAAAATAAGAAAAGCCTCATTTGTGGCTTGAAATAGGCCAAGTCGGGCTGAATCCAACCCCGAAGGAGGCTCCCAGGGGCCTGTTCACTTCACTTCCAAGCTGACAGGAGAATTTTAGTTAATGAGGCTGCTTTGAATGTCCTCCCCCCAAGACTGCTTAACATCCCATGCAGGCGAGCGCCTGGTGCAGCTGAGGCTGCACCTGGACGCAGGGCCTCCGTGAGGCTGTGCACGCCATTTGAAGCCCTGCTTCATGCATGTTGACAGCTGCCAAGAAAAACAAGTCCATAACCAGGCCGTTCAGCCGAATGATGGTTCGTTGCTCCCACTTGCAGGAAAGGCTTGTGCTGGCAGTCTGAGGGTGGCACGGGGCTGTCCGTTTAAATGCCTTTAGCTCTGGGGTTTCCACCAAGGAGCAACAGCCTTCAAGTCCACGGCCCCGCCTTGAGTGAGTGAGATAACAGGACAGGACACAGAAGTGCTCTGCAAATGGCTCTCAGGATTATTGTTACTGGTTTGGCCTTTATTAAAGAAAGGTTCCAGGAGAATAAATTGATTTTCATGCAGCTTTAAGATGACTGCGTGTGTCACTGATGCTCTGCTTGCTGTGTCCTTTCTTCCAGCTGGTCATGCAGTATCTCTACTATGGTGGCCCTGAGTCCCTTCTCATTAAAAACAATGAGATAATGGAGGTAAGGAATCGGCGGTGTCCTTGGGGGCGGGGGGGCGCCTCTGTAAACCCAGGCCACGGCACACATCGGCGGCGGGTCTGGGAGACCCATGCTGGGTTTCCGATCGGCTGCGGGCTTAGGGGCCCTCCTGACTCCTTAGACCCCCCCGAACGAGAGGCTTCTCATCACCCCCTGGACGGCCGGGGTGCTCAGGGCACTAGCCCAACCCCTGTCCGTGAAACTTAATTTTAACTGGCTTTGCGGGGTGGGGCAGAGGAAATTGACCGAGGAGAGTGAGTCTCCCAGCCCAGCGGGGGCTCAACAGCATCATCAGGAACTATCCTTGATGACTTCTTCCTTGTCATCTGTAAGAGCGCTGTATCGTCTGCAAGCGTCCTTCAGGTCACAGCACTGTCCCTGAGCAGGAGCCGGGAGCCCGCTACACAGCTCCCCTGGCCCCGCTGCAGTTGGCCGGCCCTCGCTCCGCAGCACCGTGGCTGGCCCCTGAGTCCCGTCTGCCCTTGGTAATTCAGCCTGTCCCAGGGAGCCTGTTGGTTCCTGCTCTTTTTTATCCAAGGCCACGGTTTCCCCTGCTCCTTCCAAGAAGTGGAACCCTTGTTGGTTTTCCTACTCCAAGCTGGGAGCTTTGAACAAGAAGCCAAAATCACTCTGATCCTGAGCAAGAAAAAGAGGTCGCTACTCAGGCGCCTGAAGTGCTAATGGGTGCCTGGCTGATCGGGGGTGTCAGACACGGTCGGTTGTTCACGAGGCGACCCCACACAGCGGTCAAAATGTGGGCTCCGGGTCAGGCTGGGGTTACATCCAGGCTCCGCCCCTTCTGAGCTGTATGCTCTGAGGCAAGTTATTTAAACTCTGAGACTCAGTTTCCTCACCTGTAAAGTGGGGGTAAGAATATCTGCCTCATTGCGTTTTCAGGATTTTAAGAGTTCCTGTGTATTAGGTGCTTAGGACAGTGCCTGGCACACAGTGGGTGCCGTAGGGGTAGTGCACTCACCGTGTGGTCCCTCTTGTCCTTCCCTCACTCCCTGAAAGCTTCCGTGTCACCCCCCCCCCACCCTGTAGCCTCCGAAAGTTAATTCCCTTGTCCGTCAGGACCACCCCTCAGACACTCTACCTCAGCGCCAGGCTGCCTCCTGAGGACACCAGCTCTTCTGTAAACCTTTTAAAAATTATTTTTAATCAAAATAATGAATGTGCATTTAGAGCATGTAAATAAGACAGAAGGTTTGTCAGAAAAAGCAGTTCATTCAGCCACACACACCACCCCCCACCCCCCTCCAGCCCTTTCCCCAGAGCCAGTCCCTTTGAGCTCCTGTTCCAGCTCTTTCTCCCCCTCCCCCAAGCCTGCTGCGCTCTCAATACTTGCCTGTTGAGCATCGCCCCAGCCACGCGCCTGCGGTGCTCAGGGCCCGATACAGCAGTGATACAAAGGGACAGATCCCTGCCCTCCCAGACTCTGGGGAGGGCGACAGGCATGACATCATGTCTGGCGGGAGAAGGGTTGTGAGGAAGAGAAAGAGGGTCAGGGACAGGCGGCGACAGGGGGGCGACCTGGGACAAGGTGGTCTGGGAGGCTTCTCTTGAGGAGGCCATATCTGAGCGGAGACCCAGAGGAACAGAGGGAGCCGGCCGCGTCTGTACCCAGCTTGCTAAATGATGTTGTAACGCAGGGGCACCACGCTGGGGAGCTGCACTTGGGTTTGTGATATTCCGAATAAACACCCAGGAGGACCAGCAGATGTGGACAGGTCACTTACTACCCACGTTACGGGGGAGTGCCCGAGGGCGGGGGTCAGGCAGGAGAGACCGCACCCCGCCTCCGGCCGTGGCGCTACTTACAGGGTTAGGGAGGGAGTAACATATAAAAGTTCTACACTTTGGTGATGGACACGGGGCCCTTGAGACAGCTGGGACATCGAGATACAGACTCTCTTCCTCGTTCCTTCTGGGTGCTGGCCGGGCAGCCACCTGTTCTCTGAGGTGGTGCAGGGGCCATGGCCTGAGCTACCCTACAAATATCATTCACCCTTATTTCTGGACAGAGCAACTTTAGGCATTGTGCTTGACCTCCAGCTGTAATAGATGTGGAGTTGGTTCCCTTCCACCCCCGCCCCGCCGCATTCCTCCCCGACGATGGAGTCCATCACTGTGTCTCGTTCCTCTCATGCTACCACCTCCTTTCTTTAAAGTGACCTACCAACATGATTTCTGGTCCCTTCACCTTGGGACACCACTGTGGAACATGAGGATTTTTCTCACCTCTGTTCATTTCCTTCTATCTCCCAGCCTCTAATGGGCTTTTTTTTTTTTTATCGTCCTTAGCTTCTGTCTGCGGCTAAATTTTTCCAGCTGGAGGCTCTGCAGCGACACTGTGAGATTATCTGTGCAAAAGGCATCAACACGGACAACTGTGTGGACATTTACAACCACGCCAAGGTAACCAACCCTCTTGGGCTGCCCGAGCTTACACCGTGCACATGCGTGGGCGAGGGGCATCCTGCACAGACAGACCCAGATAGGGAGAGAGCCAACGCCGGGCCTGCTGTCCCACCAAACCCCGCCCCGCAAAGATCTGTGCCCTGCTCCCGTCCCCCCCTCCCCTCCAGAATACAGAAAGCGGAACCCACACAGTGCCTCTCACGTGAGTGGGAACTGCATTGCAGACTGATTCAGCCCCCCATGTGGCCCCTGCGCCCTGCATTTCTAAGAAGCTCCCAGGGGCGGCCTCTGCTGCTGGCCAGAGCTACACCTTGAGTAGCAAGGTGCTGGAACAGGGGCTGTCAGAGTGGGCTCCAACCCAGCACCATCAGCACCGTCAGGGGACTTGTTAGAAGTGTAAATTCTAGCCCTGGCTGGTGTGGCTCAATGGACGGAGAGCCAACCTGCAAACCAAAGGGTCACCGGTTCTATTCCTGGGGCACATGCCTGCATTGCAGGCCTGTTTCCCAATAGGGGGCGTACGAAAGGCAGCTACACATTGATGTTTCTCTCCCTTTCTCCTTCCCTTCCCCTCTCTCTAAAAATAAATGAAATCTTTAAAACAAGAAAGAAATGTAAATTCTAGGGCTGCACCCCAGACCTACAGAATCAGAAACCCTGGAATAAAGCCCATCCATCGGTGGCTTCACAGATGATGCCAGTACATGCCCAAGTGTGACACCCGTCTTTCTTGAGCTGTGGCTGCCAGCACAGGCTGCCCAGCAGAGTCGCCAGGACACTCACCTAACCTCCCTGTGCCTGGCACCCAGCACAGGACGATTAGATCAGCTCTGGGGGTGGAGCCTGGGAAAAGGTGTGTTCCCACGCTTCCCAGGTGATTCTCAGATGTGGCCACGGTTGGGAACAGGTTGTCGAGACTGGGCAGGTGGACCGGACACTACTAATCAGGGGCTGTCAGAGTGGGCTCCAACCCAGCACCATCAGCACCGTAATCAGAATCACTGGGGGGCGGGGGGAGGTTCAGTCTGTTTAGCACCGCCCCCCGCCCAAGGCCACAGCAGCAAGCCTGCAGCGGGGCCAGAGTCTGTATTTTTTAACAAGCTCCCAGGATGGCTGTTGTGACTCCAGCCCGAAGGCCCGTGTTCACTCCGGGAACCACTGATTTTTATCTAGTTCATTTCACAAGTAGAAACACGGGCCCAGAGGTTTAGGTTTAATTAGTCTGGCTGCCACTTCCTTTTGTTTCCTGTGCTCACGATGACAATGGGGGTGAGAAGCGATCAATACTTGCTCCAACATGGAAATAAGATCAGGAATTATATTAAAACAAACAAAAAACTTCTGTACAAGTGAAGCTCAGTACCCTTGCCTCTGACATGCACGGCTCTGCAGAATGACAACTGATGTGAATAATTCTCTCACTGCCTCATCGTGAAAAATCAGGTTGCCTTTGAAGTGTTATTTTCTTTCTTAAGCCGACATTCCACGATTCCTTTGAATGTGCAGGCGCCTGCGCTGACTGCCTTGTTGCACTGTCTCTTTTAATCTTCGCCACAACCCTTGTAAGTAAGTGCTGTCGTTAGTCCCGTGCCGTAATAAGGGAACAGGCAGAGAGAGATGAAGTAACTTGCTAAAGGTCACACAGCGATTACTGAGTTTGTTTATTGTGGTAACACATATGTAACAGGAAATTCACATTTTAACCATTTCTGTGCGTACAGTTCAGTGTAATTAAGTACGTTCACATCGTTGTGCAGCCATCCCCACCCTCCATCTCTAGAACTTTCCATCTGCCCAAATTGAAACTCTGTCCCCATGAAACACTGACTCCCTGTTTTCCTCTGCACCCAGCCGCTGGAAACCACCACTTTACTTCTGTCTCTGTCACTGTGAGGACCCTAGGTACCTCGTGTAAGCGGAATCGCATGGTATTTGTCCTTGTGTGACTGGCTTATTTCACGTAGCCCTGTGCTCTCAAGGTTCATCCAGTATCGCAGCACGTGTCAGAATTCCCTTCCTTTTAAAGGCTGAACAATACTCTGTTAGACATAGGCCATGCCATGTTTATCCACTCATCTGTCATTGACACTGGGGCTGTTTCCAGCTTTCGGTGGTCGGGAACAATGCTAGTGTGAACGTGGGCGGACAAATCTGTGTTCAGGTCCCTGCTTTCAGTTCTTTGGGGTATGTACCCACAATTATAAACCTAGATTTGTCTCCTTCCAAAGCACAGGTTCTTAACCTTGTGTTTACTGCCTGGCCTAAAAAATATTTGAAATATTTGCAATAATCCTTGATAATCAAAAAAAAAAATTCTGATTAGTGGCCAGCAAATCAAAAAGTATAACTAGGCTACTTATTTTGTACACACATGCACACACATACGCACAGGCACACACGTACCCACTGGGTGTTTTGGTAAAGTGCCGATTTTACCAAAGTCTCATTTCTGGGGACACAGCATCCAGAAAGACACTGTCTACCCAGGAGGGCTGATCCGTCTATGGTCTTCTGCCCACCCCCCCCCCACCCCCAGCCATGGACACTGACATGGTCCTGCGAACCCGACATCACCCCCACATCACCTTGGTGGTAAGGCCTGCATCCCACAGTCCCGCTTTGATCTCTCCAGGCTCCTTGGCAGACAGCTTCTGTCACTGTCTTGTTATGTAATAATGCAACGGGAGCCCTTGCCAGGAGCACATTAGTGCCACAGGCTTAGAACACCCCAGGCAGAGAACTTCTCATTTGTGTGCCTTTGCAGCTGAAGCGCTGCCTTTCACAGACGCCGGCCTCGGCCTCCCAGGCCGCATCAAGGAGTGTTTCCCAGAGCAGAAGCCCGTCCTTCCTGATGAGAGCCCGGAGGGCTGGGCAGTGCTGGTGCCTGCCCTTCCTCTGCCCTACTTCCTTCCCTGAGCCGGGGACACCGCAGCAGCCACCCTGATCGAATGCCACGCGGATCCCGTTACTGGCAGATTGTGCTGCAAATTGAGGCTGATTTAGTAAAAGAGAGCAAAAGGAAACACTTGGTCTGGAACTCTAGGCATTTAGAGGCTAACAACCATGTTCCAGGTGTCAGCAGAGTCGGGCAACATGACCTCTATTCTACTTCTAACTGGGACAGCTGTGGAATTTTATACAGATGAGAAGCCCATCCCATAAATGCACGACTTAGCCATCCTTTTTTAACGAGCAGAGCTGTCCCAAAATACTCAGTTACCAAAAAGAAGCTCTGGAACATCCAATGGCCCATTCAGGGTATCTTTCATCTTGGGAAAAGGAGTAAGGGATCATCAAGTGGAATCTAAGTGAATCCACTAAGCTTAACAGTGATGCAAAGAACACAGGTGTGCAAAGAACACAGGTGTGGAGAACGGGGGATTCGTTCACTAGTGTTTATTCAGCAGCCACTATTTACCAGGAACTCTATTCGTCAGAATAACAAATTAGTAAGATATGGTCTCTGCCCTTGAAAAAATTACAGCCTAGGACAGGGGTCAGCTAACCTTCTCTGTAAAGGGCCAGGCCAATATTTTCACACAAGCCATACGATCCTGTCTGTACCTACTCACCTCTGCCACTGAAGTGCAAAAACAGCCGCAGATGATATGTAAATAAATGAGTGTGGCTGCGTTCCAATAAAACTTTATTTACAAAAACAGGTAGTGGGCCCAATGTGGCCCACCGGCCTGTAGTTTGTCAACCATCAATTGGTCTAGGAGATGAGAGCTTTGGTCCCAATTCTGGTAGCACTTAGCTGTGTGGACACAGACAGGTGTCTGATTTACTGTCATCATTCATTCAGAGGCCACAGAATTACCTGTTGTGTCCACCTGCCAAATGCACCGTGAGTATGGTTCCCTCTAGTCTACCCCCTCATTTTGTAGTTTGGGAAAATGAGGCCCAGAGAGGAGATTTGACTTGCACAAGATTGCACATGGGTTTTTTGTGTGTTCGCTCAAGCCCTTTGGAAGAATTGTTTGTGCGTGTGGTAACATTGGTTAATAACCTTGTGTAAGTTTCGAGTGTACAACATTACAATTCGATATCTGTGTACACTGTAGCGCGCTCACTACCAAAATTCTAGTTTCCACCTATCACCGCACAAGAGCCCCCTTACCCACTCCACCCTCCCGCTCAGAGCCCCTGATCTGTCGTCTGTATCCATGGGTTGGTTTTTTCGTTTTTGTTTGTCCATTTGTTTCTTCTTCGTTTTATATTCTATATACAAGTAAAACCATATGTTTTTCTGTCCTTTTCTCTCTGACCTGTTTCACTTAGTATAGGGAAACCTTAAGGTTTATTGATGCCGCTGCAAATGGCAATATTTCACCTTTTTATGACTGAGTTGTGTTCCACTATTACATCGTGTGTGTGTGTGTGTGTCTATGGAATTGCTGGTTCCTTCTTTGTCTCTATATTATATATATCACATTTTATATTATATAATATATAAATATATAATATAGTTATATAATTATAATTAAATAATACGTGAGAATATATTGTATAATATATACTATGATATAACTGCATTATATAATATAACTATAGCATATATATCACATCTTCTTTATCTATTCATCTATTGATGGATACTTAGGTTGTTCCCATATCTTGGCTATTGTAAATAATGCTGCAATGATGATAAAGGTGCATGTATCTTTTCAAATTAGTGTTTTTATATTTTTTGAATATATACCCAGAGTGGAATAGCTGGATCATAAGGTTGCCCTACTCTTAATTTTATGAGGAACCGCCATACTGCCGTCCACAGTGGCCGTACCAATTTACAGTACCACCAACAGTGTCTGAGGGTTCCCTCTGCTCCACATTCTCTTTTTGATTATAGCCATTCTAACAGGTATGAGGTGATACTTCATTGTGGTTTTGATTTGCTTTTCTCTAACAATCAGTACTATGCCGAACACCTTTTTCATGGGCTTGCTCATCTGTCTTCCTTGGAAAAATATCTATTCAGATCCTCTGCCCATTTTTTTAATCAGGTCGTTTTGTTGTTGTTGAGTTGGTTGTGCATGGTTTTTATGTAGATAGTTGGGCTGTTGGCTCAGGGAATTAGCACATGATGTCAGCGAGCTCAAGGTCACACGGCAGTTAGCTGAGCTAGGTTCTGTAGATACAGCCAACTCTTCTTACCACAGCCTGGCCACGTGGTACACATGGATATAAGTTCTTGAGAATGAGAGTAATGATTATATTTACATTTATCACAACAACCAACATGGAGTGCTGATTACAGTCAGTGTTCTAAACTCTCCATGTATTATCTCATTTAATCTCAACAACAACTTATTAGGTATTATGATCCCCATTTTACACATGGGAACACTGAGGCTCAGAGAGATTAAATACCATTCCCAACAGCAGATGGCTAGTGAGTGGCAAAGTCTGGCTAAGCACTCAGGCAGATTCCAGGGCCCCTCCCTTAGCTACCTTCCTAACCGGCCTCCTCCAAGTATGATGGTGACAGTCCTGCCGGGAACCATGTTCCACTGAATCCCACCCACAGGTCTGCATTGCAGGTGTCATTATCCCCATTTTGAAAATGAGGAACCTAACGCCAGAGGCCAGATGACCCACCCTGCTCACATATTCAGAAAGGCAGGAGAGCCCCAACTGGAATCCAGGTCTTCCAACTCCTTCCACCGTAACCCTGTCGGCACTGCCTCATCGTCGACGCACCTGCCGCACCTAACACCTTAACGTGCATCTCTGGTCTGAAGGACAGAACGTTAGAGCTTTCAGAGGGATGACTCAGCATCGAAATAAAGCAGCGGGATGTCACCTCAAGGAGCACCTAACAACCAGCTTCTGAGCCCCCAGTTCATTGTAACAGAGAGATCTGCAAGCTTTGAAAACTAGAGAGAAGGGCACCCTGACCAGTGTCGCTCAGTGGGTTGGGCATTGTCCCACAAAGCGAAAGGTCGCTGGCTCGATTCTCGGTCAGGGCACATGCCTAGGTTGTGGGTTCAATCCCTGGTCTGGGCACATAACAAGAGGCAACTGATTGATGTTTCTCTCTCACATCCATGTTTCTCTCCCTCAAAACTAAAGAGAAGGGTTAAAGATAGATGGCCAACCCACATATCCACATTCACTTCTGCATCTCAAACATGAATTCCTCCACCTGGCATGCTCATGAAGTTAAATACCTACCCTCCGATTAATGGCATCAGGCTGAAGGCATTGCGTCCTAATGGATTAAGCACAATCTTAAGGACTTGAATGATCAGGGTTCAGTTCCTGGTTCTGCCCCTGACATGTTGTATGCATTTTTGTAAGTTACTCTCTTGCCTCCATTTCCTCATCTGTACATTGGAGGTGGTAATAGGACCTGCCTCAGGGAAATTTGAGAATTAAATGGGATGATGCATGGGAAATGCCTGGCAAGGTGCCTGGCACATCGTACGCTCTCGATAAATGCTGGCTGTTAGTTTCAGTACTCTGAGAGTTAACCATTCATTCTCACGTTCAACAAATACTAAGTGTCTACCGCCCGCCACGTGCTCGGCTTGGGCTTGTAATGGTGAGCCAGGTCTGCAGAGTCCCTCTGTGTGGGTTTAGTCTGTCAGCAACCATGTCTGTAGATCAGATGCTCACCCTCGGCACTGTCAACAGTTCAGGCTGCATAATTCTTTACTGGGGGGCTGTCCTGTGCATCATGGGATGTTTAGCAGCACCCCTGGCTCCTGCCCATCAGATGCCAATAGTACACACACCACTACCACCACCACCGTCTCCGCCCCGTTTGGGACAGATATCTCCAGGCTTTTCCGAATGTCTCCTGGAAAGCAAAATCACCCCTGCCCTAAAGACATTGGGTAAGTAGGCAGTGCTCACTCATAGAATGGCTGTGAGAATTAAATGAGTTAGTGCTTGTAAAAAGACCTTAGAATTGCATCTGCAACTGCATTCATGTGCCAGTGATCTGCAGTGTTGCAAAGAAACACAAACTGCAATGATTAAAACAGTGAGTGCTTATTTTGCCTGTGAGCCGACGGGAAGGCTGAAAAGTGGTTCCGGCTTCAGCAGACCTCGCCTCTGAGGTCACCTGGCTGGTCATCGCAGCTGGCTGTGCTGAGCCTGCTGGACTCTGTCACTGTCAGAGGTTTTGGCTGGGACAGCTGGGTTGCCTCCACTCAGTCTCACGTAGTCACTCACCCTCCAGAGAGGCAGAGGCAGGGCTCTGAGAGAGAGCTGGGACGGACACAGCCACCTGAGTCTAGCTCAGGAATGGCGACTCCCGCTTCTACCATGTCCTGTTGGCCTGATCAGGTCCCAGGGCCAAGCCATGGAGAGACAGACTCCAACCCTTTGATAGGAGGAGCTGCAAAGTCATGTCCCAAGAATATGACTACAAAAAAGGGTAGAGAATCAGGGCCACTTTCACAGTCTACCACCGTAGGGTCCGCCCATATCAGATGTGCATCTCAGAAACATAACCATCTCCTGCTTCTTCTCCTCTCTCTGCAGTTTCTTGGAGTGACAGAGCTCTCAGCATATTGCGAAGGCTACTTTCTCAAAAACATGATGGTCCTCATTGAAAATGAAGCATTTAAGCAGCTCCTATATGACAAAAATGGCGAAGGAACGGGCCAGGATGTGCTCCAGGACTTACAGAGGACGTTAGCCATCAGGATTCAGTCAATCCACCTGTCATCTTCCAAAGGCTCCGTCGTATGAAATGTCCAGGGCAGGGAGTGCTCCCTGGAGACGTGCCAGCTCTCCTGCTGCATTGGCTTCACACAAACATACAAATTTCACCTGGCGTCTGTTTTAGGCTGGGCCATGGAGCTGCCTCTACTGCCTCAGCTTCCCTGGAATAAGCAAATTCAGCTCCCATGTATTCCTGTTGAAAAATGATGGACCTTCCATTGGTCTGCAGAGCAGAGTGCAGCTGGGTCCAGAGCGTGAAGGTCAACATGGGGCAGCCAAGCTAACCCCATCCGAAAGTACCCCTGGGTAGCTGAGCATCTATTGTGGGGACCACTATCAAAAGGATGGACTGGGAACTAAAGGTTGTTTGGGTTCCAGGCTGGCAGCCGGCAAACTTAACTGCAGAGCGTCGTCTTATACATTAAGAACCTTAGTAGCTGCAGTTCCTCAAGAGTCAACCATGATAGCATTACCAATAATGATGAAATAATTTGACAAATTTTTAGGGGTGGGAACTTTTTAAAATGTTCGTAAGAAAAAAAACAACCAAAACAGGGCAGCCTTGTAGTTTAAAATATATTTCTAAAAGCATAACAGTTCATTTTAACTGAATTGTGTTTCAGGATCTGTGTTTTGAGATTTTTTTTCTTAAAAAAAAAAAAAGACAGTAAGCCACAGGTCCACACTGTATAAATCTGCATCTGACAAGATATCGCTGATATTCTAGATAAAGTGAAATAATAATCTTGCCTTAGTGATCATGGTTCCACAAAAGAGGTGCACTGCCAATAATTATCTCTAACTCAATAGTTGAAAACAGCCTGCATGCTAATTGTGGTTTTGGGGTGACATTAAAACAGCCCCACATAACAAATCATGCATTTGCATGGGCCCGAACCTGTGAAATGTTAGGTTTGTGCTTCATTTTTGCCAAGGTGAAAAATGCTCCATCACTTCTTGCTAAAAGTCCATTTGGTGAAATGAACATATTCATCTCTTTTCCTAATTATGAATGATGCTGGGATGCTTTTACAGAAATGTGTTCCTAGATGATGCTGAATAGGGGGCATGGGTCGGGGGGGTATGTCAGAGAATTTACAAGGAATCCTGGAGTTTTCTCTGTATTCTCAAAAGATGTTAATAGTTTGTTACTAGCCAGAGAATATGACTATGTTATTTTTCAAGATGAAGCCTGTATGATAGGATGGATTCTTTCTGTATTCAGAGAGTGTACAGTATAGGGTTATCTATAATGAAAGTTTATAACGACAGGGTTTCATTTGCTCTGCCATATATTATAAGCAAAAGAGATCAGTGAAGTGCCACAACGCTCCAAATAATTTTTAAGTTGCTGCCTTTTTTCTTGTCCTTTAATTTGAAACTTAGGTACATGCAATGAAAAGTAGGAGAATGACTTGCACCCTTTGGGATGGCAAAGTTGCGTTGATAAACCTATTTCCTAGCATGCCTTTGGGAAGCTGTGCACAGACCCTAAATCTCCAAGGAGCTGCTGCTCATCCATCGTACTTGCTCCCTGAGCCACTGTTCAGAGGACCGATGTTGTGCTCTGTTTCATGGGTGTGACCCGTGCAGAACCCGGGCCACATCTGTCTTCAGTACCAGTTCTTCTGTGATGCCGATACACAAGGCCTCTCTCCCGCGTGGTCATTCGCAAACCTCCTCGGGCCCTACCATCAAATGGGGAAGGAAAAAGACTGCAGAGGAGTCGAAGCTACAGACACAGCTCGTGCGTGACTCGTCACTGTCTCCTGCCTCCTCCGTGTCCTCAGAGATACTCCGTGGACGTTCCCTTCACCGCGACTGACTTCCCTGTGACTGTCTAATGTCAGTTCAGGGCCTCTGGCCATTGGCATGTACAGTGGCAACTCCTGATGGGCTTCTGTTATAGTTTGGTGTGCTTTCTCTGTCATTAAAAGAAATGATTTTCCCAAACCGCACATCCCTTGTATAGACAAGTGAGCTCTTCTTTTTAATTTTTTTGATTTAAGCATAGTTGGTACAGAATCTTATATTAATGATATTAGTTTCAGGTGTACAACATAGTGATTCGATGTTTTTATACCTTACAGTATGGTCGCCCCACTAATCCTAGTGACCATCTGTCACCGTGTAACTTACCGCAGTATTCTTGACTACATTTCCCTTCACCCTTTCCTCCCAACCCTAAATCCTCCCTTCGGGTCTGTTTCCGTGAGTCTGTTTTGTTTTGTTTGTTCATTTTGTTTTTTAAGATTCCACATATAAGTGAAGCCATATGGTAATTGTCTTTGTCTGACTTATTTCATTAGCATAATACCTTCTGGGTCCATCCATGTTGTTGTAAATGGCAAGACTTCGCTCTTTTTTATTGCTGTGTAATGTTGCACTGTGCGTGTGTTGTGTATCTCACATCGTCTTTATCCATTTATCTGTTGATGGACGCCTAGGTTGCTTCTCTATCTTGGCTATTGTGAATAATGCTGAAGGGAACACGGGGGGTGCAAAAATCTTTTCAAATTAGTGTTTTTGTTATCTTTGGATAAATACCCAGAAGTGGAATTCCTGGGTCATATGGTAGATCTATTTTTAGATTTTTGAGGAATCTCCATACTGTTTCCACAGTGGCTGCACCAGCCTGCATTCCTACCAACAGTGTACAAGGGTTCTCATTCCCCGCAGTCTCGCCAGCATGATATTGGTTGACTTTCTGATAACAGCCATTCTGACTGGTGTGACGTGGTGTATCATTATGCTTTTGATTTGCACTTCCCTGATCATTAGTGACATCGAGCGTCTTTTCATATGTCTGTTGACCATCTGTATGTCTTCACCAGAGAAATGTCTCCCCCTTTCCTCTGCCCACTTTTTGGTGTGAGCGAGCTCTTTACCCAACATTTGGAGCCTGAGAACTTCATTCAGTTAAGAAATTAGAAAAGATGGCCCCACAGATAAACCTGAGGGAAATGACGTCAGACGGACGTTGGGGTCACTGACAGTGAGCCACTGCCTGGCCATCCTCAGCACGTGGCTGAGCAAGCTCTAGTCTCCTGGGTCGGCACTCACCTCTCCTTGCCACCGTTGGATTTCCTTCCCGTCAGACAGAGGACTCTCAGGTCCCGCCCCCTGGGCTCTGTCCTAGTGCCTCTGCCCACTGTAGCTGACTCGCCTGCAGGGGATGGCCTTCTGGCTGTCATTTCTGTGCCCTGATGGAGCTTTTGTGTTGGGAGATGGAGGAAAGCAAGCTCTCAACCTGGTATGCCCCCAACCAAGGGCCAGTATGAGTCGATGCTTGTGGGTGGCCACGTTCTGGGATGGGAGTTAGGGAGGGGCAGGCAGCTCTCTTCTGGGGTGTCATCATCACTGAGGTCAGCCCAGGTCCCCAGAAGGTCTTTTCTGGCTCCTGACCTAGCCTGGGCCCCACCCAGGTCTGTGTGGAGATTAATTCCCATGGCTCACCCACACAGGCCGACAGGAGGCCTGGGAAGGGTTCAGGCTGCCCCAGGAGGCCTGGGCCAGTGAGGCCTGCAAGCGGCTGGCTGGCATCCCTGCTGCGGAGTTGGGGGCTATGTCTTCTTTAAGAAGCGACCAAAGCGCTGAGTGCCTGGGGCCAGAACCCGCAGTCAGGCCAGGACAACAGAAGGTCAGTTTCTGACTGTTCACCCTTCTCTGTGCAGCCTCAGGTTGAGGAGTCATTTGATTCATTCCATTTGGAAAGACCCAGGATAGGGTCTGGCATTTGCCTTTTCCTTGTCTGACAGGCGGCTTTGTTATCCATTCCTTAGTTAAGCCTGTACAGGGGCCCCTTTGCGCCTGGGGAGGGAGGGTGGAGCCCATCTGCCGACGCTCTCCATCCCTTCCAGGTGCAGAAAGAAACTGGAAGCTGCGTGTGCAGCCACCACGCAAAGAAACAAAGCCCTCGGCTTGGCCTCTAATGGCCCTGCCCCGCAGTGTGCCCCGCGTGTAACCGAGCTTCCATACACCATGTCTGAGTGCCATCCACTCTCCCCAAAAGAAGGAGAATCCTCCACCCAAAACGAGATCAAGGTGTGAGCTCCAGGCTCAGGAGGGGCCCAGGCAGGAGCTGGAGGGTGCGGCTGCGGAGCCACCCCCTCGGGTAGGGCTGGATGGAGGCCCCCAGGTCCCCACCCCTGAGGTTCCGTAGCTCTGACATTCCGTTTCTGTAGTTCACGTTTCCTGGGAAGCCCCGCGCAAAAAGCATTACACCAGCTGGGTGGTGTTTTATCCATCATGGTCTTACCAAGACTTGCCTCACACAGTGTTTTACTAACCTCAGACCGGGGAGGGAAGGGATAAGAATTCTAGACAATTCTTTGAGAAAATCTCCTATTTTCCCAGTCCTGCGGAGGGAAGGGGGGTGGTTGCCTTCTTCAAAACTCGGTGCTCACCGCCCCACCGCCCCCTCTGGCTTGAGTCACAGAGGAGTGATCACAGTAGTCACACTCTACCACTCTACCCCCCTCGCCATCCACTGCTTACCCCCTTTCCGACCCAACCTGCAGAGACGCCCCCCAAGGCTCGCAGACCATTTCCGGGGTCCTGGGCTAAGGGTTCCAGTCAGCGAGCTGGTCCCAGAGCAACTCAGGCTCCCTGCAGGCCTGAAAATCTTCCCACTTCAGGCCAAGTTGGGCCCAAAACCCGCTTGGAGACACTGGACAGGTTACTTTACCAGTTTTCATCTCCTGTTTTGAGAAACTGGGTTTACAACTCATTACTAGGGTGGTTGGGAGGATTTAAGGAGGTATTTTGTATGGATCCTGCACTGACTAACAGAAGAGAAAAATCCTTGCCACCACCTAAGGCTGAGGAGAGGGAAGGAAAATTGACAGCTCACACAACAAAAGGAAGGTTAATGATTCTGCCCTTCCTTTCTAGAACTTTCGACAGCACTTCTCACGGTGGTTTGTGATTGTTGAGGGTTTGCTACTTATCCAAGGGATGTGGGGAATTTCTCCCGGGAGAAATCTATTGCCGTCCGAGTTCCTAGCGCAGTGCCTTGCACAAAGTCAGTGATCAAAAAATGTCAACGGACGCCAAGTTCAACGACATTACCTTTCATGCAAATACTATGTTTCCTACCTTAGGGCTGCAGGTGGCAGCTCTCCCAAGCTCCTCGTGTGCCCAGG